AACTATATGATACCGCTAACCTATAGCTTCATTAAAATGACAGTGTTATCTTTATACTATTTTCCTTAGCCAATAATCGCATGACTAATTTAAATCAATATCAGAAGGGGTTTTTGTGAATATTATAGTAATCTCAATAGTTGAGATCATGAAGCTAGACCACCATGCAAAACCCGGAAGCAGTAGACGGTTGTTTCGTCCTATTGTGGGACTACTCAGCAGTGAGCATCCACGATCCCGTATCGCGAGATTCGAACAAATTCAAGTTTCGATAATGCATTGCGAAGACGAAGTTTATCAGAATTACGTGATATATTTGCGCAATACATTTCGAACGATCTGATCACACATATATTTATTAAGATATTTTCATATGAAAATTAAAAAGGTCAGCTAGACAGGTTAAAGGTAAACCGTAACAAAGAAAATAATAATAATAAAGTACACAAAAAGCAGTGTGCTAACCACTCTGGATAATAAATCAGTATTACCAGGGTAAGCTAAGGGTAAGAAGAAATTGTTTTTGAACACATGAAAGGAGTTTCAGTTTTTGTATAGCCAAGGCTTCAATAAACCTTAGTATACGTCCTTGAAGGCTATTGTACAACACTACAAATGTCAACTTTATGACCAGTCTTAATCAAAATGCAATGGAGGATGACGTCTGTCTATCCTGTGATCTTATTGGACCATTGGAATTCACATAATTCTGATAAACTTCGTCTTCGCATCGCATTATCGAAATTTATCAAAGGGACTAATTGCTTTCAATTTGAGTTAGTAAAATGTTTTTTTTTCACAAAAAATTATGAAATTATAGGGTTTACAACGGAGTTTTAAAAATCTTATAATAAAAGAGGTTTTCGATAATGTATACTCTTCCTGATGAATATAGATCTTCCTTGATTCTTTATAAAGTAACTGCTAGCTAATCAATATAGTTATCATAACTTTTGTTAGTAGATGAGCCTAAGGGTTGATAGAATGACATTTAGAGTCAAAGATCGGGAGACCAAATATATGACTATCCTGTTTAAGTTTATTTACGCTAGAACATTGGTGATTATGCAGTACATCATTAGTAATATGATTTGATTTTAAAGAACCATTCATAATTGGAAAACGTTTCGAATTTAAGCTTTTGGTTCTCATTTATGTTGATATAATTTCATTTATGCCAATTAATGGCAAAAAGTAAACATCTCATCAATTTAGAAGGTTTTAAGTAATATATAAATACATTCACTGCAAAGCTTACTTATTAGTTGACTGGTGGAGAGTGAAGTTATCTTCACCGCTTTCATTATTCAACGATCCAATTCTATCGGGAACTTATGGTCATTTTCCGTTCATTTTATGAGTAAATGCTACAGATTGGAGATTAATTTTTATTAGCAACTTCATTTCAGACTTCTAGATTTATCCGAAAATATCTACTGTAAACATGTTAGTGTGGCGCAACCAAACATTCCAGATGGGAAACACAAAGTAGTTATTATCGACTGTGTTATATTCCAACGAGGATTATGAATGGTAACTTTAGAGAACTATTTATGGACCAATACGATGCATATATTTTTACTGTGTGATTGTTCAGTAGCTAAACTATACATACTCATGTTCCTCTTGTTATAAGCTTTATTTTGACCCATAGACTATTATTATACGATTTACTGTTCTTGATTTATGCCCAGTCTATTAATTACAGCCCCCCCCATATTCCTAACCACTTTTTCCTAGATCTTATACAAATGTTGTTTTTTATGTTGTGGTGCGATATGGTCTTTTTAGTTTGTATATAAGCCCAGTGTGTTCGAAATACATGATTCATATTGTAGAGGCTGAGATTAGTGTTCTGAAGTCCGATAAGGACTCTAGACTTCTCCTACAGATTTACGCGTCATTGATCCGGTCGATAAAGCACTGTTCTCTAAACGGTGGTATCATTACGTTATATATTAATAGGGCACAAGGCCACAAATTATAACGGATTGTTGAATAGTGCTTAGTTCACTAGTTCAAATCTTGTTCTATACTTTCACTACACTAGTGATGAAAATAAATACGAAGTGTACCAGAATAAGATAAAATAATCGTTTTACACTAGATAACTCTTAATTCTATTTAAACTTAATGTAAACGTGTAATATACATCACTTTTTAATGTTTAATTTAATTTACTAGTACTACATCTAATCCAAATTAAATAAATCATGCTATGTATATCAAGATTATATTAGTAAATGAGATTTGCTTGTATTTAATGATAGATAATATACGTTATACTTTAAGTAGGATTAACTAACATTTAAGACTAGATCATTTCATTCATTTGTACTAGTTGTATAAAATATTATTCATAAATTGATCAGTTTTAAATAATTACGTTGATATAAACTACTAATGAAATAGATTATTTATATGACTTTAGATTTAATTCAACTGACTATATGCTCATCTATACTTAGCCAACTTAACTAATTGGAAAAAGAAAAAGAAGAAGGAAGATACTGAATCTAAAGGTGAATAGTTACTTACAGTTTATGTGTACTGAAAGATATAGTAGTCAAGATGGTGAATTTGTGGTCGGTAATCATGTTTAAACAAATGATCTAAATAGGTATTAGAGTTTAACTAATCTTGCTTCTCACTTGTTATGAAATCATGACTTGACATATCCTGTCTAGTTCATTCAGAGTATGAATTATTGCAGTAATAGTTAGATTTGAGTAGTCAAATAACATCTATCAGTTAATAGGTTTCACTAATCATATAATCTTAATCTGAACATTTAGTAGTCTTCTTTTTTTCTGTTTTTTGTCAAGTTTAACTTATCAACGATTAACGTGAAAGTTAAATCAAAAGATTGAACTCGTTGAGTGAAGTATTAGTATGTTCACTTTCATAAAAATTGTAATTAGAATAAATTTTTAGAAAACTTAAACAGAAAAGTATCGTTGATTCATTACATTCTATTAAAATTACTTCTCTTTAAGTCGAAGTTATTATTTCGTGGATTGGTTGAAGTTAGACGTTAACACCGTTGGATGCTGGCTTAATGGTCTAGAGGTTAAGTGTTCACACTCAAGACCGATAGGTACTGGGTTGGAATCCCATGGGCGAGGTCGTGGGTACGCATTGCTGAAGTGTTCCATGCTGGGACAAAACGGCCATCCAGTGCTTCCAGGTTTTCCATGGTTGTCTAGATTTAATTGACTCATGCATTCAACTGTTAAATTTATCATAGTTGACTGGTGAATTAATGTTTTTTATTTTACTGTTAACGCCATCTTTATTTATAAAAATATTATAAATGATAGTAAGCACCAATTATCAAAAAAAAGTGTACAAATTGACTTCTATTGTAAAACGAAATGCCTAAAAATTGTTGGATTATTAGAATAAATAGTGGTCTTGATGTGCATACAAAAGAAATTCGAGATGATGGAGAAGATTTGTAGCTCAGGTGGATGATTTTGATGGATTTTTATTCTCTGAGCTGGATGGTTTGGTCGTGGAGCTTTCATCGTTCTTCTGAACGACATCATCTGCACAAACGTCTATCTGAAATCCCCTAATCTGTTTAAAACATAATCTGTTCAATGAGAATGAACCAGGTTTTAAAGAAAGGAAAACATCGTGAATGCATGTTAAGGCATTTGTTATATGATTAGAACCAACATGTAATTACAAGAAAAGTGGTTATCTACTTATTTTCTTAGTGTGGCAAATCAAACAAGGGATCTCTTCGTGTGCGTTTGTGTACATTTGTGAACATCAGCATTTTAACACTCCATGGCCTACTCTGTTTTGGATAAATTTTAAAAAATGTTCCATTTTGATTGTTATCACGAGATAAAAAATGTACTGCATTATAATAAAGTTCTTCGAGGAAACTACTTAAATGAACAATAGTTGTATGTTTATTCGTGATTAGCCCCATGATATGTTTCCTGAACTTTTAGTGATAAGATTTGACTTATGAAATGAGCAGTAATTCACCTAACATGATGGTGTCATATTGCAAACTGATGGAATTAAAAGTGTTGATCATTGAGTTCCAATACATCGAGTTTAAAATATCGTGCTCTTTAAAACATTTAAATATCCTAGTTTCACTGTTGTTTGAACTTGTGGATGTGTGATGTTGAACTGTCTGAAACATAGAAGAAACAATTGTCTGTTGTCCTTCCTTTCTAGTTTTCAATGGTTCTTTATTTGACATTAGTTTGTTGTGACAATCGCCTTTGAAAATCTCTGCCAAATCGTTTAACTCAAAATTAAAATATTTGATAAGGATGTGGATGTTTGACTATAGTTGATTTATTGGAGTTTACTTACTTACTTACGCCTGTTGCTCCTCGTGGAGGAGCATAAACCGCCCACCAGCATTCTTCATCCAACCCTGTCCTGGGCAATCCTTTCCAGCTCTTACTTACATTATATAATTAATAGTTTGTATCATTTAGAGTTGGATGGAAATGATGTGGCTACTTAACTTACGTAATTTTACTTCAAAGTCACACCATTTAATGATTTACTAGTTTATCTCATTTTAACATGATGACTAGAATACCCTGCTTTCTTAATTCAAGAGAAGAAACGAAAACTTACAAGAGACAACATATATTTGTTCAGCAGATTAAAGAAAGGTTATACATAAGAGGCAGCCAATCTGCCCTGAGTGTTTGTTCAATGGGTAGTTTAATATGTCTATACTCGTTTTCCGTGTCCTCGATAATTTATCACCAGCTATTTAACGTCCATTGATCAGTCTTCTAAAGTAGCGAGCTAGATGGATAATCTAACTAGCGTTCAATGTTATATTTCACTGACTCTAAAAAAGTTAAAACTATTACGAAACTGTAAGTTTTACCGATATGTTCTTACTCTATGATTATATAACATATTGTCAAAATTCTCCGTTCCATAATCTCCTTTATTGTATTTATCCAAATGAATGGTTTTTTCTTACTTTTTATAACACTTTTTCATTATAGATCGTCGGTCAAAAAGATCGTGGTAAACAAGTTGAAACAATTCTACGTTTACATTTTCATAATCATTCGTTTACTGAAATAGATGAAGAACTACCTGTTCCAGCGATTGTATTCTTTGAAGCATTTCCTTTCAATTTCGTATTTAATCGTGGTATGAAGTTATTGAATATCGGTAGAAGTATGGCCAATGCGCTACCAAACATAGTTGGAAAAAATGTGACAGATATATTTCTTTTATGTAGACCCGTTATACCATTCACTTGGGATGATGTAAGTGTGACTGATATTCCAGTACATTATTCTAGCTGTTTTTTTCTCGTTTTTTTCTTGATATAATAATTTAGAATTGATGATTTGTGGCTAATAATAGAATCCGGGAAACTCTTTTCATCACATATCGGACTTGTTAACTGGTTGCACCTGTATTCTAGTATTGATGTTCACACCTAAACTCTAACCCATTATCTTTCGTTTCAAACGCTAACGCGTTATTTCCTGGGTCACTAAATCCTAACCGCAATGTATATATATTCTGTTTACAATAGATATATTCTTCATAACTTATGCCATAATGGTTATATCGAAGCATTCGACACAAAACGCATATATACCAACAAAGACCGATCAAAATTAGTTCCTAGTATCGAAAACGGGTTACAGCAAAATCTTGCTAGTTTTCTGTTTTCACTATTCTTTCACAGTAAGAGTAGAAAGCCAAATTATTTATAAGTTAAGCCTTGCAATACTGTGGAGATCTAATATTAACTCGGTATCAAAAGAAGGTGATGACATTATTTGATGTGATGGAGATCTTAATTTGTTGAAATAAACTAAACTCCAGACTTAAAACCAGTTTGGTTTAGGTTTTTGAGTTTTCTAAAAATGTTTTTAGACGAGAGGTTCTGTATGGAAGGCACACGTAAGATATAGTAATACTGTAGTGAACGTGAACACAAGTGGGGACAATCGAATGTTGTTGAACACAAAATTACAGGATCTCTTAGTGAAATTCAAGAACCATACAGTCAATACTTCAGTTGAAAAATGTCAATCAATCGTCTCAGACTTCATTGTTCCTGTGTTTCCACAGCAAGCGTTCTATGTTCTCGTTCTCCTTTCTTCGATCTTCTTAACCTTCTGCCTCCAGGCATTTCACTTTTGATTGATGATACATACTACTTATATCTGTCAGTAGCACATACCACAAAAATAATATAGAAGGCAGTTATAAAATCACCATATAACTGCTATAAGACATTTTAAAGAAACTAAGATATTTCGGGTTTTTTTCTCAGGAGAAATCTCTCACTTTTTTACTGGTTTTGGTCCAGCCCATTGAACTACTTCTAGTATATATGCATTATGTTTGGGATATCCATTTGTTGATCGAATTCATGTATCGAGTTAGTCAGCGAACGGTGCACACATACCAACAAGACTGATCAAAATTCCATTATGAATATCAATAACAAAATAGCTCAAACCTTTAATAATAATGATATTAATACCTGATATAATTTATAGAACGGAATAATCAGTGATGATGCAGGAGTTATGTTACCTCTGTAGGCTGTTCAGTTTCTTTTCATGTCTAAATTTAAAGTTAACAGTTTATCATCAAGAGATTGAAGGTAAAACTATTCAAAATTGACCATTATTTAATGAATACTAATAGTCCATTAATTTAAAAGCAATTACAATAGGAAGAAACTTACATACATGTAGTACGATCGTCTTCATACCTAAAGTGTTTTTAGCAGAAAATTACAGATCATATAGGAAAGAAGGAGAAGAAATAAAGAAAAAATACAACTACATGAGGTCAATCAACTTTGGTTAGTAATGGAATTGAACGCTCTTTTTCATAATATGGTATACTATTGTCTTACATAAAAGTAGAACCATAGTCATTTAGTTATCTGTTTCGCTGTGTTTATATTAGTAAACCCATTTACTAACAAAAACATTGGAACAGAATCAAATTTCAGATGCTTAACCTAAGAAAGTGAATTAAATGTAATTGACACATTTTTGTAGACTAAACACAGTCTTGTAATGTAAGGACATTCCAAGTACTTCTTGGAAATGTACATACAATTCGGTATTTGTTAATATGGTCCTTTTGTGAAGGTTCATATGCAAATAATAACAGAATAAAAGAGGTAATTGCTACAAGTTTGAATTGTAAATATTCATAATTCGTATCAGAAAGGGGTTTTATGGATATTATAGTAATTTTAATGGTTGAGATCATGAGTCAATTGAAGCTCGACCACCATGAAAAGCTGGGAGCACTGGATAGCCGTTTTGTCCTAGTATGGAATTTCTAAGCAATGAGCGTCCACGATCCCGCACGCGGGATTCGAACCCAGTACCTATTGGTCTCGCGCGAACACTTAACCTCCAGACCACAATTAAATATATACTTTTTTATTAGAATGAAATATTTACTAATCATTATTATCAAGTGTCATCTATTAATATTTTAAATAATTGTAATACGAAATAGGTATTAAAGAGGAATTTCATGCGACATTTTATTCCTTGTGCTTACAATTGATTGATCACTGGGTGGCGATCAATGTCATGTGTGCCAAGTCCTTATTTAGTGCAGATCGAATGCTATCGACCATGTTGCGATGTGGCCACCAGTCTAGGTGACTCGACACTGCGGGCACTATATATTGAGATCAGGTGGTGGTTGGAGGTAGGCGACAGTGTCGGGTCACCTAGACTGGTGGCCACATTGCAACATGGTCGATAGCATTCGATCTGCACTAAATAAGGACTTGGCACACATGACATTGATCGCCACCCAGTGATCAATCAATTGTGATTACATCTCAGTCTTACAGGAGGTCAGTCGCGGCTCGGATAGCTCAGTGGTAACGTATCTGACTGTGAAGCTGGGTGACACGGGATAGAATCCGTCAGGAAGCACCAGTTCCCTTAAGATTACAGGTACACCTTGCTGACGAGTGCCAAGTAGCTTGAAACCCGTGCCCAGGGTTTCCTGTCGACTACCTCCAACCATCACCTGATTCTTTGTGCTTGGAATTTCATTTTTTGATGCAAATTTACAATTAGTATAGTATTATTCACAATTGTAACTAATATTCATTCACAGCTTCAGTCATTAAACTATCATTTCATTGAATAGATTAATTGAGAATATATATGTATACTTCCCAGTAATTTTATTATCTGACTGATTATCTTGATGAAACTAGTAAGGATAGAAAATTGCTTAATCATTTATCATCTAACTAATCTGTATATGTTCATAGTAATTTATTTGATGAGTAGATGTGTGATCGCCAGCTAGCGAGCGAGCGAGCGAGAGATGGACAAACAGATTTACTTTGAGATGTAAGAAAGATTAATTCTTAAATAATGGAAATCTGTGTATTTCGATAACAAAAGTTTGACCACGCCCACTAAATTGTCATTAAACAATCGTTACACAAATAAGTGTAATTATCTTTTTTTTTTAAAAGAAGGCAAATTTTACAATGTGATATCAAATTTACTTCAGTTCGAAATATTGTTTGGATGTATAAATGTGAAGTGGTCAAACATGGCATAATTATTCCTGTGCGTATGTGTGTGATTTATGAATTTTAATAGAGTATATAAGATATAGCGGTTACTATGACAACCAAGTTCGAAATGGACAATAACTTTACAGCTAATATTTAGTGCATATATAGAAAAAACTCCAGACCAACCTTGACAATAGATTTGAAAAATGTAGAACGAAATGTTAATCAAGGAGAAAAAAGAATTCGAGTAACTCTAATTAAACAACTTTAGGAGGTTAGCACCCGTCACGAAAGAATGACAACTAGTGACATTGAGGCGTCATTTCTCTTATAACTATACAAACTGAAATTGTAACATAATGAAACTGAGATTTACTAAATGTAAGAAACAAAACAAACACTGATGGCAGATGAACATATCTTATTCACTACAATACGAACACGCGACAACTTTCGTGACCAAATATGCATTTTTTTTGTAAACATATTCAACAGTTAATCAATTAGTAACATATTGAACTAAAATAGCAGCAATATTATTGGATTTTACACCGAAATGATCTGAACACTAAAGTAAAAATGAAAAGGATAGCATATTGATTAAGTATCATATTTAAACAGCAATATGACATTGCATCATATCATAAATGAAGTTGAACCTTGAAACTTTAGGTCACTTAGCAGTAAGTTTGAAGTCAATGGTTATCATTTACGAGTTCATTATATTTTTACGATTTTAACACAATGTTATCGGTTCCATTTTCCTCTTAGTTTATTATTATTAAGATCATCAGTGTTTACTGGAACCTCAGAAAAAGTACATTTCGAAACTAGTCATTGATAACTTAGATACTAACAAATATTGTAAAGTTAAGTCATAGACTTTTGTAATGTGAATTAATAAAACGTTAAGTTAAACTGAATTGAAATAAAATAAAATTCATCTTTCATTTTCAATCGAGTCACTTTTGAAAGTCATCAAAACTGCTAAGTGAAAACTAATGTTTCCTAAAGATACTTCATTTTTCTACATGTTCAAGAAACTATGGTTTAGTAGTAGAAACAGTAGATTTTTCAATAATTACTTTATCTATTCTAATCTGAACAGCCAAGTAGTAACACTAGGCTTTATATAAAGTGTGACTTAAACTACAATATTCAGGAATCTGCATCAAGTCGCTGGATTTCATGATCAAATTATTGACGTTAATGTTGGAAATCTAGAAGTAAAAAAGTATACCTTAGAGAATATTCTACAAGGATTATGCTAACTTGAACATACTTTGGTTCTTGTATTTGTGGGTTCTAACTGCGCAAACTGAACGTTAAATAGGTGTAAACTCATAAGTGAATAACAAGAGGAAGAACACAAAATTGGGTAACGGATGAAGATCTCACTCATCCTCCAAAAAACATGATAAGTTTTTTTGACGATATATGCTCATTTGTAAATAAATTTTATTGGGATTTGATGATTTATCAATGAATACTTTACTTAAATGAAATAGTAAGAATATGAAATGAAATTTATACTGAGTTGATATGAGCGAATTGTTATGTTCGGTACTTGATTAACACAGAATACAGTATGCAACTACGGCACTCGAACGTATAGAACGCCACAGTTGCAAAATCAGAAGACAGAAGAAAGCTGGAGAAGTGTAAGAATCAAAATGTACAGAAAATCATGGGTATTTATAGATATTAGCGCTTGTTATAATGTTGTTCTAATTCAGTCAATCCTTAAAGAGGCAAGTTATACTACTGCCCATTAGTAGCATGCCACGTTGATATTCCAGAAAGCTCCACCACGTTCTTAATGGATGGAAACACTTCGGCTCCTTTAGGGCCTCAAGAGACACCGTCGTAAGTCTCGGAAGCCGACCCATGTTATACTGAACAAAATGCAGACTAAACTAGTGAAGATCATCCACTAAATTATATCATGATCTCACTTTTATTCTCTTCTATCATATCTGCCTTGTTTATAAATTTCTCATTTCGATTAATCTTACTTAATTTATTTGTTGATAGTATAACACAAACGTATTTAATTTTCGTCTGATTTCAGATAATGCTGCATACAAATATTATATTTGAACTAACAAGTAATGAAATAAACAAAGGTAATTATGAATTTAATTCATATATTACAGTCCTTTTTATTAATATGTTCCATTTATGCACACATCATTACCTAAAATAGTCTATTATTTCTAAGACGATTAACATCACTGATCATGATCGGCTGGAGAACCATTGAAAACCAAGTAGAATTGAACAGTATTTTCTCTCTGCTTGAGACAGATCAGTAGTGCACGCCCACAACACCATCAGAAATCGAACTTATAACAATAATATATCGTTAGTAAGAAATTCTCAACTTGTATAGTTAGCTTAATAAGGAGTAGTAAAAGACATTCATTGATAGTGTTTAATAATAAATAAATTATGTAATGAAATGATTATTCCAAATTCATGTTCTGAATTAAAAATACACCTATTTCGACTTGAAAGTTTCTGAGCAGATATCAAGTTAGTGTACATTATGAGCTTAGGGTATTGTCATCTCGAGACGAATTAATCAACTAATACTTACAATTATTCAATAGTTGTTCAGCTTACATCCAATCCATACATTAAATAAACAAACAAATTAGCGAATAAAAATTCTGATTGAGAAATTCAATTTTCATAGTTAGTCTAAATAATACCTAAAATTAACATACATTGTACTAACTAAGGTGTAGATTGAATTTTCATCATAACGAAAACTATAACGAAGGGAACAAAAAAATGTTATAACTTGTCAATTGAATGCTGATTGTCTTAGCTTTTTTAACACTACTTTCTATATCTGGTGGTCGCTGATAGTTGTGTCGGAAACGCTTATCACTTATACTCGGAACGAGGGACCTTCTCAATTCATTTAATTACCTGCAATTGGACCCCTTTACAAATTGGAACAAAGCAAGAATGACACATATTTGCAGAATACAAAGAATTCATTGTGCTTCGTTCAGTCCTCTTCAACTACATACAACCTAATTGGTTCAGTTATTTCAAATTAACATTGATTAGTATTTGAAAGAAAAAATGTATATCACTCGTAAATCTAAACATTTCCAGGTTTTCCATAGTGATCTAACTTCAATTGACTCATGATCTCAACTATTGAAATTACTTATAAAAACCTTATTAAAACTTTAACTCTTAGTTAAATTCACATTCTGAAATAACTTACTCGTTATTTATCGGGTATTATGATTTCATCCTAAATGTCAAATTATGTTAATGAATTAAAATGACTAAACTAATTAGCATGTATACAACTTAAGAGAACGTAGACTAATATTTGAACGAAGGATATTCTTTTCCATAAATTCTCTTCAGGTTCTACAATGCATATATCCAAATTAATAATCCGAACAATGGCCTAGTTAAGGGTAAGGTGTATCGTTTAAAGCATTTGAATTTAGGATTGTTAATCAAAATACAATAAAATTGTTCATGTTGATATGACACATATAGAATGTTAACATGAATCTGCATATACGTTAAGTGAAATTCAAGATCCATGATCAGAATAAATATGGGTCAGATAGGGTGAGAGAAATATATATTCTGGAAATGTTATCGTTCTTGCCTAATTTGTTTGATATTCTTAACAAAATAAAATGAGTTTCATTTATAGAAAGTAGGTAGTAATCACAAACTGACCTGATCAATACTAATCTTATACTTTTTAGTAATCAACACTTTTGACAAAGTATGTGGTTAACTATAAAACTTCAGCTCCTATATTAAACAATCGAATCAAGATTCTATGGTTTACAGAACATCACTTTTATTCTGACTTGTTGATAACAGTTTCTGCATAAATTCAAGATGACATTTAATTAAGCACTACTAAATAATTTTTAGACAGAATCTCATAGTTATCAAACTTATCTTTGAATTATAGTAGTTCCTCAGTTGTTATAGTTTTTTTGATTAAGTTAAGCTTAGTTATTGAGATATCAACTAAATGTGTGTTAATCAATCAAAAAAATCTCTATCACTATCTAACTTTATTACATTAAAGAAATTAATACCAATGTTGAACAGAACAACACAGGAGATCAGTCAGATACAAATCGAGGTAAATTAAAACTTCGCGGTCAAATGAAATATATGAGTGAATGGGATGCTATCGTATTTCTTGGAACACCAATGTAAGTTGACTTTATTTCATTTATACAGTATTCAGCTTGTATTTTAACACATTATATTTTTTTCTAAAACGTCTGTTGATGTCATCAAGATCGGTTAAGTTACAGCATAGGGTCTAGGTTGGTCCAAAGGTTCGGTATGAAATTTTTAAGTTAGAAGTGAAATGCTCTTGTAAAACTGCGTATGTGAAATAAATGCAGCACCTGCTTACCCGATTTTTCAATCATAAATAATACCAAATGTAATTAGGAAATGGATCAGAACAATGGTGTTTACTACTATGGAGATAAGTAATAATACATGGATATCAGAACAAAAAATAGGTGGATATGGGTTGAGTCCATGATCTGATGAATAAAGTTAAACAACCTGGCCATCACTTTAGAAGAGGGAACAGCTGATTGGCCAACTAGAACTGACTGGTAGTATAAGTACTCTAAAATAATCGTTTCTATTTAAAGAAGGATAGTATAACTTATAGGTAGATAAATAAATAAACAAAAACGAAAATAAAAGTCGATCAGAACAGTCTTCAATTCTACTAAATTGTATTAGCTGCTGTATTAGTTAAGTGAGTTGTTTGATCATCTTTAAATTGAAGAATCCTGTGTGAAGGATCGATAAATACAAAGATGCTTCATCTACTTAAAGCAGACATGGAATGTTCAACTAACTTAATTCTATAGCTGATGACTATTAGACAGAGAAAGAGAAAGATGAATCATACGGATTATGTTTCCAAATACTTTATTTGTGGGGCAGAATGTATCAATGAAATTCAGAACAAGCGTTTCGTCCTATTTGGGACCCGCTAGTTGAATGTACTTACATACCGGAGTTGATGTTCACCCCGGAACTTGAACCCAATATCATTCGTTTCAAACTCTATCACGTTATCCACTTAGCTACTCAGTCAAGATAGCCATTTTACCCCATTGTACAAGCTAATGGAAGACTTTATGTACGAAAAAAGATACTTTGGAAATAATTTCGACATTCCTATTTTTTGACAACTCGATCTTAAAATTGAAATGGTTTTAATTTCATAGACTTCATACTGATAAAATAGGCAAGACTATAATTTATGAACAAACCAATGAAACTAAAGATAACAAGTTAAGTATTTTGAAGTGAACTTCATTCATCTATCTAGTTAAATAGCATTTTAGCATTATAACTAATATCAGTTCATAATGAAAAACTTTATAATACTACAATTTCGACAAAACCTCTTCTGATACTAATCAACATATGCTCACTAGTGACTCGCTTCAAGAGACATATCCTAGAGTTCTAGTGAGAAGCAGTGACCAGTGGAGTTCAACCAGGCCAGTTGTGAGGTAATAACTCACTGATGACAATGGTGGATGTGTCGCTCAATTCCGTGAATTAATTGAAGTTCGACATTAACACCGTTAGATGCCGGTCGGCTCAGTGGTCTCATTGGTTAAGCGCCCGGCGCGAGACTAATACGTCCTAGGTCCGAATCACGCGAGGCGTAGTCGTGGATACGCTCTGCTGAGGAGTCCCACAACAGGACGAAACGGCCGTGCAGTGTTTCCAGGTTTTCCATGTTGGTCTATCTTCAATTGACTCATGATCTCAACTTTTGAAAAAGATTATTGTTTCGTACTATTAATACGTTCACATTACATATTTTTAAATGCCACTTTTAAATTTTACATTATCTCATAGAATTTGTTTTATTATAGAAAAGTTAAGTTGTTTACAGATACCGCTAAATCATTTCTATACCAATTTTTTTAAAGTATGTTCAATATTTAAGTATAGAATCAATAAAAAAAGTAGAATGGATCATTTTTAATGATCATTTCTATGATCTTGTTATGTTAGTTTTTAAATATTGATCATGTTAAATGTTACTGAATGGAACATTGAAGAACTATGTACTTTCTTATATAATTATACATAGTTTCTTATACTTAAAATGTATTTGTGTTATAAATTTAAGTAATATATAATAATATAATATTTAAGTAATATATTTAAATTAATTATCATGTATTTTCACTATTACGTCAAAAACTACTTATATTAATAGGTTACCTGGGTTTTTTTGTTTGTTTTTTCATGTGTGTTCAACATTACAAAATAGGTTTATATGAAATATTAGCTTGTCAAATGAATCTTGAAACTAGGAAGAAGTTTCAATGTATTTCTTATCATAAGTTAATACAAAATAAACAATTACTGGTAATTTTTTTTTAGTGTTGAATAACTATACATACCAACTAAAACAAAATCATAGACCTTGTCATGAATACACATAGTTGTTAAATAAAGAGATTCCATTTCAAACAACTTGATCATATTGATTAGTGATTAGTGATATGATTTTAAATTGTAAGAGAAAGATAGATTCTTTGAAGAATTCAGCCTAAATGATAAGTTTCTATGAACATGAAACCTCGGTTTAATCAGGGATTCCTACTGACTGGCATATCCTATCAACATAAAAAAAACTATCACGTAACGAGTTGTTAAGATTGTTGACTACATTACAATTAATTCGGTAGAATTTAATTATTAATGAGTAAACAAATACAATGTTAGCGTAAGACTTCACACCTACAAGTGATTGTTTGAGAGACAACTAGCTTAGTCGTAAGATATTCGGCTGTGACATTAGGTGATGAATTATGATGAAGCCTGATCCAAATCTTCTTGGTAATTTTCTTGAACTACTTGACATCAAATTTTACTTCAATGACTAAGATTATTGATCATATCAGATCAGAATATACTTAGTTGCTGATCGCACTTGGTTGGTACCATTTACAAATATCAACAGGTATCGGCACATAGTAATCGGAACATTTAAATTCAAATTTTTATTTATTCTCTGAAGAAGTAGCTTACGCTAAGTCACGAAACGTCAGAAAATCTAATTTTTCTACCCATTGGGATATTATAAATATATTATTTATTTAAATTATTACTTTGTTTTTCTCTTACACAACGTATTCCCAGTAAAATACGTTTTCTAGTAGACCACTGAAAGACTTGTGTTGAATATCATATGGGAGGTAGGCTATACACTGCTAAGGTGCTTGAAACTTGGAAGAAGTAACTGTGGAACTGTGAGCTGCATATCGTTGAATGATTCTTTATCAAATATCATATATCGATAAAAACCGTCTGCAAAGATTATTATTTATTATTATTAGCTTTTGGTACAATATAGAATCCTCACCAAAAAGTATTTCAACAATTTTCCGTTTCTTATTTCTTGATCGATCCTGACGATAACTGTTGAGTGGTTGTCAGTTAGAAGTTAGCAGTTCAGGAATCGACATATGAATAATGCATATTATTTTCGATGCATAATGCCAGCAACCATCATGTTTCTAATTGGGCTTTTTTGCAACTTGTACAGTGAAAGGTCGTAAGCTTTTTACAAACGCACCTGAATAGTTTATGTGATTAATACACATAATGGTATGTTAAAACACGAAAAAAATAACTTGTTGAAATATCTAGAGGGTAGAAACAGGTGTTCAAGCAGGCTGCCAAAGATATTGGGTTAGGAACAATAACAATAACGGGGCGGATTTGCATGCATATAGCATACAATTCTCTTTGAACCTAGCACACAACAATAGCATCATGCACTATCTCATCGCCCTTGGCAGATCAGGCAACCCGAAAGTTACGTGAACACCATCAGGGCATACGACAGGCTATCTATATATCTGTTAAATTGAGTTTGTAATGTGTTAGTACCCTCGTGACATATTTAAGTGGAAGGAAAATGTTTTGCCTTAAATTAATATTGGCTAATTAAATAAATGAAATATTTGGTGGTCGATCAGTGTTTTTCTTCAGAAATTCCATTTTTGTCCATTCAGTTTATTTCACACCGAAACTTATTATCTTTAGGTATTTTAATAAATACTTATATTGTAAAACTGTTGAAAAAGAATTTGGTCTTTAGCATGTTTCACCGTATGGTGTGTTCTACTTATATTGACATAAGTAGTAGATCATGTTAGTCGTGAACTGAATGTCTGGCAGAAGAGAGACAAGAGGATCGAACAGTAAAGAATGTAAACAGAATGCAATTTGTGTGAAAATGGAAGAACAACGAAATCTGAGTCATTTTGAGACAACTGGTGGACATTTTGCAAATTGCGTATTTACTATTTGATTGTTAGCTTCTATTAACAAGTTCTGTAATTTTGTGTCAAATACATTCGATTGTTCCCATCCGTGTTCTACTCACTACAACCTTACTTTCAATATTCGTAAGCTAGTGTTTGTTCTCATTCTAAACATTTACACATCCTTATATCAGGGCTTATAAATGTCAAACAAATTTTTATCTAAGCCAATGCCATTAGACTACCAGAGTTTGCTAATAAGTATTTTATTACATATCCACGATTACTGATTTTGGTTTTTCTAATAGTTCGTAAAACTTAACTTTGGTTTTGATAAAGTAATAGAGTAGGACATTGTTATCAATTTTCACAAGGAAACATGATATAAACATTTGTTAAGTCCTATTTGTTTGAGCATCAATTTTGTTTAACATGAATGTTTACATGGTCAATAACGATCGAAATTTAGTTTCTACTTATTTGGACAGATTATTCATTATAAATATCGTTGTAAGGGTGGTAAGTGAAATTGGAAGAGAACTTGTATCTTAGGAGCACTCTGACTGGCATCCAGTATACGACTGGTCTAGTAACACATCAGTTAAGCAAATAAATTCAAAACTTTTCCAGGTTTCAGTTTTATTGTAGTCACCGAATGTTCTATTAGCCCCCCTTTTGATCTATAGGTGTGTTAATAACTAGCTTTTTAGGAATAGTAGATTAGCCGTTAATGTATTAAACTTTTTACTCGATATCTATTCATAGTAGTCCTGTCCTGGATAAGGTATTCACCTTGGTTATTTGAATATTTGGTAACAATATCTCTGTTTAATTACATATACAGATATATTGGTTCAGTTTTGTTTATCGTATTTATTCATAAGACTATATGTTTTCCAGCTGGCAATATTGAGACAATCTGCTCAATCTAATCCAAGTTCAATTTTAAATATTATTGACGAGTTAGTATAAACTCTGAAAAATAAATGAAGAAAAGATTTATGTGACATAAAGAGATGATTCGTTTATTAGGATAAATGTAATAACATAAAACAATATTCATTTCAATTTCTTTAGATGGCAATTATATAAAATATGCATAGATCTTTAGGGAAATTCTAGCTTAGTCTTATTCGATATTGTCAAAGTTGGAAATTCATGACTAGATATCATGAATCTATTATATGTTACATAATAATAAAATATGATTAAGTCATATTGTCTATTTTTAAGTTATTCTAAAAGAAAACTATTTCTGTTCCTTCATTTGCTTCGACTGTTCGGATCTTCTCATTGATATGTAGGTCTGCAATTGATCAGTCTCTTTAGGCACTTATATATCCTGTAAAAATTGGCTCGATATCGCCATTAATTCATAAGCATAATAGGTAGAGATGGATAATGGCTTGTTAGCTGGATGAACATGCATCACAGGGTTGATGTTCTCCCCAGAACTTATACTTTCGCTCCAAATACCATTATATTATCCACTTAGCAACAAACTTATATAATCTCAACAATATACCATAGATTCTTTTTGAGTGTAAGTATATTACGCAGCATACTTTTTCTCTTTTATATAAAATACAAAATTCAACTCATCTTATTTCACACTCTAAATTATTATAAAGTAAATTTCTATGTTTCATAACATACTACATATTTATGATAATGTCATGTGCTAGAAAAAGAGGGGAAAAATGTTTACTGGGAATGATAAAGGTTAAAGTAAACAAGTAAATAAAAAGATTATTTAGTTGTTAATTAAACCATAGAAATTGAATTTCATATTTATTTATTTATTTTCGTTGTTCTTTTCTCGTGTGTGTGCGTTCTTTTCACTTTTTTTTCCCAGTTTTTCATTGTATTTTTGATTTACTTTTCACATGAATACCTGTAAGACTACTCTATTAAACTCAGTATTATATTACCTTGATATAGTTTACTTGAATCTTCTCATTGATGGTTAGGACTGTAATGGATCAATCTTTTATTAGCTGACGAGTTCTAAATAGGACGAAACGTACGTCCTGGATTTCACTGCTAAACACTATCCATCTTCGATATTATATTGTTTTGATTTTGATGATAAACATAGTTAACATTATGAATATTTACTGATTTTATTTATAGAATATAACAAGTATACACACAATATGTATGTACATAAAATTAATATTTCTGATGTTGTGGATTAGTTAAGTTTTAGTATTAACAAAACGTACATTATAATTGTAACAGGGAAGAAGATTTATGTTATGTGCACTTTTCAATTACATACAATATTCATTTTTGGTTGAAAACACAAATTGGGTGAAATTAATTGTATGAACATGTTTTCTATTTTTTTTTGTTGTTGTTGAAGAGAATAATGAATAAAAATATTAGTATTTAGAATTTTTGCTAGATCGAAGCTCATGGCTTCGAATCCTGCAGTCTAAGACGTGGATGTGAACTTCTGGGGAGTCCCATAATAAAACAAAACGATCTATGAGTGCTTCTCAGGTTTTCAATGCTGGTCTAGCTACAATCAGTTTGTGACTTAGTATTGTGGGAATAACGAATTAGTCAGTCTTTTGATGTCTATCAGTTATGAGCTGTTCTATCTATCTATCTACCTATCTACCATATTAAATTGAATAATCTTCGCAAACCATATGACTTGGTATTTCCATTGGTGTAGTGAAAATATTGCATTTGAAAGTTTTAGGTTTTCAAAACTACATAAATAAGATAAAATGTTTTGGTTTTAAAGTAGTTGGATTTGATCATTGCAACTGTTATAACTTTTTAAAAAAAATAAACAAATATACTCCTTTGTTTGTTTTAAAGTTAATATCATTCTCTTCTTCTTTCACCTTTCCTGTTTTACAGTATGCGTGATGTGGATTCAATGCTAGAACTAGGTTTATATTTAAATGATTTGAGTATGCATGATTCTAGCCGTGATATGGTATTGGCTGGTGAACAACAGTCGGCTGAACTGAAATTAGCACTGGAACAGGTAAATTAAAATTATGTCATTTTGATAAATGCCTGGATATAATTGCTACTACTACTACTACTACTACTACTACTACTACTACTACTACTACTACTACTACTACTACTACTACTACTACTACTACTACTACTACTACTACTACTACTACTACTACTACTACTACTACTACTGTGATATGTGTTACTGATGTCGACAGATATAAGTAGTATGGATCACCAATCGAAAGTGGAATGCCTGAAGGCAGAAGGTTGAGAAAATCGAAGAGAAGAGAACAAGAACAAAGTGTGATTGGTGTGGAAACGAAGGAACAATAAAGTCTGACACAACTGATGGGTAGTTTGCAAATGAAGTATTAGTTGTACAGTCCTCAGATTTTACTAAAAGATTCTGTAATGTTGCATATGGTTGTCCCAGCCTTTGTTCTCGTTCACTACACTACTACTGTTACTGTTATTACTGTTAGCCGAATAATTTTCTCTTAGTCTGAATAAAGGGGAAAATATCTGTTAAACCAGAAATGCCCAACAATAAAATTGGTCTCATTATATATACCTAGTAATTTGCATAAATCAGAAATACTACTTATTTGTTTACTGTAATGGACAGTAACATTTTTAAAAGTATTATGTGTGTTGATTATTCGGAAAAACAATATTTTATTTCTGTTTTTTTTTAAAAATTGTTATGCAACCTTACTATTAGTAGTTTGGGTTATTTTGGTAGTTCAATAGTTAAATATTTAATTTTCAACCGCCAAGTCCCAAGTTTGAAACCCGACTCCTTTGATTCACTTTAGTCAGCTGAATAGTATCATTGGCTTTAACCCCAGAAAAGTGTTACCTGTAACCATGTAACCATAAATGTGTATTTAGTAAATGAATCATTTTAATACGATGTCCATTAGTTATATTATTATGGTGATGATATCTGAAAGCATATTCATTATCAATATTTTACCAAAATATCAGTCATCAAAGTTATGACAATCTGTAAACTGAATGATTTGAACGAAAAGTCAAATTTCTTCGAAAGTCATCAATAGAATTAAACAAACTAGTGTTGTATCTATCTGTCTTATTACGGATGGTAATCTTAATTCTAATTACAGAAGTTGAATACGTTTCATCAATCACTTGAAAAATTAGTATATATCGGAGATCTGATGATATAACTCATTCGTATTAATAAATTGTTTTATGAAACATTAACAAAAGTTCAAATCAGCTTTCACCATACAACATGTGACTTTACTGAATGTTCATATTTGATATACTTCACTATCGAAATCAGGTTCTTTATACATCAAAAAGAAAAAGTTTGATTAGAACTACTGCTATAGTTCCTACTGATATATATTTCAGCTATGAATAAGATCATAGTCTAGTACTATTTTGCTGTTACCAAGGATTTTTAATTTCCCGTTGTTGATATTTATGGTTGAAATCGACCAGTCTCTGATGTCATACGTTTCGTCTGAGCGGATTGGCTTGACTTCATCATTTACTTGTGAGTTTTAAAATATTTGATATGTAATTATCGGTGAGTGTTTGGAGTGAACAGTCTGAGTTCGAGTCTCAATGTGGATATTAACACTGGTATATAGTTACATTCAAACGATGAGTCCCGAACAGGACGAAAGGTTCCTCCCGATTTCCACTGGTATCCAGATACCAAATTTATTAATAGATTGTTTACTTTCTATCTCACTCTATGATTTCAATTATTAATAAAAATTAAAATTAACTATTTTTAATCTAATAAAATACGGAGATCTGAAAGTTTTTAAGTGTTAAGTATATCCTACTATTGAGTGTTTAACAAATAAACATAATACATATTCTTTGTTTTGTGTGATTTATACCATACAGATACTTAAGGACAACACTTTAATTGTTTTTGTTTATAGGAAAATGAAAAAAGTAAACGTTTGGAAGAAAGTTTAAGAAGATTAGACGAAGAAATGAGAAGAACTGACGAATTATTATATCAGATGATACCACGTTCTGTAGCTGAAAGGCTTAGAGCTGGTGAAGCTGCAGTAGATACTTGTGAAGTATGTGGTTCTGAAACTGATTTGCATTTATATTATTAAATAGCCGGTCTTACATAATAACAAGTTCTTTCGGCAGTTCACGCTGAGTGAATATTCAATGAATATTCAATCTAGATTTTGAGTGTTGATGAAAAAATACAAATGGAATGATCCAGATATTGCTTTCAATAATTGAAGAAACCAATTTGTTTTTTAGCGCACAATCACAGTGATTTAATGAAATTTGAAAATCGCACATTAAATATATCATTTGAACGTCTTCGAATCGTCTCTTACAAGCTTCATTGTTCCATCATTCTTGTTGTTATCTTGATTACTTTCAGTTTTTTCTCTCTTCTCTTCACTTCAATCTTCTCAAACTTCTGCTCTCAGACATTTCACTTCCGACAGGTGTTACATACTACTCATATCTGTGAACATAAGTAGCGAACACCACACTCGTCCTCCCTTTAAACAGTCGTTCCTATGGTTGTTGTACTCTCTGTGCCTCTTTCTTCTTCCCCGTAATCTGTGTCACGCTTCTCGTCAAAATGTCTAGTCCACCAGTGCGCTGGCTTTCGTATCTCCGTCGACCTGCCAGGCCATTCAAATCTGATTTCCATCAAGCACCCGGGACGTTCAACACCTGCGTTACAGTGAACCATCTATCTATCTACATCCAATGTCCGCCCAGCAGCCACATGTTCCACTGGTTCCGTCGGCGGCAACTACTACAGCCAACACTGACCCACCAGAGCACTTCATTCAACGTTGTCTCTTCTAAAGTCGAAAAACATTGAATGATGGTGATCTAATTAAAACCTCATAAGCTTTTAGGTTCAATTTTCTAAGATGAAACTAGGTTTTAGTAAACGAAAACATTATTTATTATCGTTTCCTGGAATTTCAAACACTATCAATAATCACAGATAGGTAAAAAACTTCTTTCTAAATCACTCTTATGTATCTACGAGATCACTATTTGTCTGATATACATTTGCTATTTGACCTTTGTTCAATTACAAATATAACGCATTTTATTTTAAGCATTTTTTAAAATAATTATATTGATTTTCAGTTTTCAGTGAATAAATGACTTCATTCTAAGCATAGAAAATTATTATTCCCTAATTCTATAGAGTTCAGAGTTAATTTTCACCATAAACTTACGTCATCTGTTGAATTATTGAAAATCTAGGAGTACTGAATAGCTATTTCTTCCTAAGTTGGAATATTTTAGCAACACACATGGATCTAAATAAGAATATTCATCCGTCATGATGCAGGTTATACAGTTGAGTTGTTGGCTGTAAATTGAAAGTTAGCTCTATATTACGAATTAATTGAAATATTAAATGAGCACTATTAGATTTAAACTTAATAGTGTAATTGTTATCAAGATACCTGAAAGTTCCATGTTCAGTTTCATGTGAGGTAGTAAGTTTATACTTCTTGAAAGTCACAAATTAAGAAAAACAGCGACCGAATACTCTCTGGTAATCAGTTTATCATATCATGTTATCATGATTCAAATATCAAATCAATTCTACCTGTAAAATTTGCAATGTATCTATGAAGCTAAACAGTTTGACATCTCAGTGCAATGACTTCGGATTTTATTTGAATAAAGAAATCAAACTTGATTCATATGAAGATGGTTTCTATTCCATAGACGATAAATTTGTCTGTACTTTGACAAACATCAAATGTTACATAGTTACAAATAGTAGGCAAGATGAATTGAAACGGCTAGCCAGAAATTATAACCGTGTTTGTAATAATGAGTGATATGTAGTCCGAATCCTCAAAAAGATATATACTTATTTAAGGTTTTACGTATACTTTGTTGACAAATAAAAACAAGTAAGAGATTCACTTCTGGAGCGTTTTCCATATTTAATTTCAGTATTTAGCATTAATTTATCAGACGTGATCAGTCTTTATAATTTAAGTAGTATCTGTAAATGAGTGTCACTTAGAGTGAGATAGATGACAAATATATAGTGTATAGTAACTTATAAAGAGTAGTAACAAAGTATAAGGGTTTTTAACTATTTAACTAATGGAATATAAGATAATAATTTGTTACATAGCATATGCTTACAAACAGTACAAATTATTAGTGTCCATATTGACAACATTATCTTTGTTCTATTCAAAACTTCCCAGATTGATGTACTTTCATGATAATACGTTTTGATGTTTGAGATCATGAATCAGTTGAAGCTAGAGCACTATGGAAAACCTGGAAGCACTGGACGGCCGTTTCGTCCTATTGAGGGACTCCTCAACAGTGCGCAGTGACTAGTGGAGTTCAACCGGGTCTGTTGTGAGATTGTAACTCACTGATGATAATGGTGAATGTGTCGCTCAATTCCGTGAATTAGTTGAAGTTAGACATTAACATCGTTGGATGCCGGTCGGCTCAGTGGTCTAGTGGTCAAGCGCTCACACGCGAGACTGATCGGTCCTGGGTTCGAATCTCGCGGGGGTGGGATCGTGGATGAGCACTGCTGGGTAGTACCACAATAGGACGAAACAGCCGTGCAGTTTTTCCAGGCTTTTCATGGTGGTCTATCTTCAATTGACTTATGATCTCAACTATTGAAATTTCTGACGAATCTCCACAAAACCCCTTCATATATCTTAGGCAATAAATTTAATTGATGATTATTTAACGATTCCGAACAGATGTAAAAATTAAAATATCCAGATTGGGTAGACCACATGGTGTACTTTTTATAGCATGTGATTTAATTGTCTAAATTTGGGAAAAGGATTTCACTGAGAATTTTTGTGATATCATGTGACTTTCGAAATCATAATGCTTTCATTATGGTCTAATTTATTCTCCATTAGATTTCTATTCAGAGTAATGTACGAATATTTGTTTACTAAATGCATTCTTTGTATCAGTTTCATAAAAGTAAGTGAATTTGTAAATGTAAAATGAGAGGGTCCAAAATGTTAGTTAATTCATAATACTTCCTTGAATAAGGTATTTACTGGAGAAAACAAATTGGAGCACTGCTGAATAAAACATATTTCTCAGAAAACTGTTCTTTAGTATCTCAATAGCTATATCCCTCTTGAATTGAATGTTCATGAATAAAACTTTATTCACAATTACGGGAGTACTTACAGCTTGATGTTTTGATTTTATATAACTAAAATATAAATAATAATTAGGATTGTTTTAAGTTTGCTTCTTTTCTCCAAATAAAATTTGTAAATGTTTCATTGGAATTGTTTATTTTATTAATTATTTCGTCTGTTTTTTTTTCTTTGTAATGTAGACATTCGATAATGTCACCCTGTTATTAAGTGATGTAGTAGGATTTACAACAATATGCAGTGGTCTTGCACCATTGGAAGTTGTAAGTCTACTTAATAAACTTTATTCAGTATTCGATGGACTTACAGAAAAACATAAAGTTTATAAGGTAAGATGAGAATTATTTTATTTTATAAATAATGACTCTAGGAGATAATTTTGATTTATAAAGACTAATGAAATAGTGAATTTTTTTTGCGCTGGAACTATAACAATATTTTTGAGTTTCTTTAATGCTTTTGCTTCTTGTGAAGTCAGTTGGATATTGTCTTTCTTCCGTTGAGTAAGAAATACTATGGTTTTATTTTATTTCCTGTTGAGTTTCCTTACTTATTCTGGCAATTTTGAGATGTCACTTGTATTGTAATTTAATCCTTTTAGGAGTAGGTGTTGTTCTATATTTGTTAGTGATTGCTTTGACAGGTTGACCACGCAGTTTTTTGTGTTTTCTTCCATGGACGGTTTTGAAATCTTGATTAGTTTTTTTTCTTTAGGGTGTTTCTTCATTGTTCTCTGTGTCGTCTGCACGATATCTTGATGGCTTTTGTTAAGACTTCCAAATGTGATTGAAACTGAATAAAATTCTATATCATACAGTTATTCTAATAACTTGTATAACGTTCCTGTTCAGATGAATTTAATTCAAGCTTATTAACAGTTCTTTATATAAAATTACATTTGTTGAGCTGCATATCTATACATGAATTGTTGTAAAAAGAGCCACGACTTGCAGAGTTAAACGTTCAGATGGTTTTTATCTTTAGTTATCAAACATTTTGACTGCTTTGAAATTTGACTTTTGGGTCATGCAGTGTAGGTTTAACTAGCTGAGTTGTAAATGTAGCCTTTACACTATGAATATAACTCGAATTCATATAAATAAATTTATAGTTAGACATTGAATTGAATCATCAACCTAATACTATGGTATCTAATTCCTATGATCACCTATTGATAAGTGTTCAAATAGAATACAAGGAATCGATTAGGTATTAGTGCTTTATGTAACAGGATAAATATTAAAATAGACACTTTTAATTAGATTAATGTCATATTTTATGTTCATTGCAATTTTTACTTAAATAATTAATAAATTATATGTATCTAAAGATTAGTATCAGAAGGGGTTTTGTGGAGATTGTGATAATTTAAACAGTTGAGATCATGAGTCAATTAAAGATAGACCAACATGGAAAACCTGGATGCACTGCACGGCCGTTTCGTCCTATTGTGGGACCCCTCAGCAGTGTGCATCCACGACCCCACCTCGCGGGATTCGAACCCAGGACCCATCAGTCTCGCGCCGGGCGCTTAACCAATGAGACCACTGAGCCGACCGGCATCCAATGGTGTTAATGTCTAACTTCAATTAATTCACGAAATTGAGCGACACATCCACCATTATCATCAGTGAGTTATTACCTCACAACAGATCTGGCTGAACTCCACTGGTCACTGCTTCTCACTAGAACTATAGGATATATCTCTTGAAGCGAGTCACTAGTGAGCATATGTTGATTAGTATCAGAAGGGGTTTTGTGGTGATTGTAGTAATTTGAACAGTTGAGATCATGAGTCAATTGAAGCTAGACAACTTATTGTTATCCCAGTAAACTATTGAAAACTAAAGAACTGTTGGGGACGATAGATCCCCAAAACTCATATTTTTTAATCTTATCTTATCGATCAGCTTATCGATTAAATGTTTAAATATTTGTATTGAGGTCAATTGATGAACCTATCGATTAAATGTAAAATAGCGGTCAATTAATGAACTCATTGATTAATGTTTAAAAATTTTCCATGACAATATCGATTGTAAATAATTGTATAAATACGCTTGATTGTGTGCTTGACCTGACTTGTTATCTGCTATTTGTCTGTAGAATACACTTTCTACACCTTACCCAGACTTCTTGATCGGGTTAGCAGAGCCGGGGACAACGAACCAGAATAGCTGTCGAGTCGCTGAATCATTGATCCTTTGTTCTGTTCGAGTAAGACGCATCAGTAATAGCATTCAAGTTTAACGAATCATAACAAGAACATTAAACAGTTATATCTTTTTATAGTTTGGGATTTTCAGCTTTACTTACATACTAATCAACAAATCATATTATGAAATGACTGAAAATCTCTTGTACTTTTGAAAAACGTCTCAAACTATAACAAAAAACATTCAGCTATCTGTTGATAACTAGTTTTTTGAATTCAGTGAGGGAACTATGGTAACTCACTTATCGATATGTTTACACGTAGTAATTAATAATAAATTTTAAAAAGGTTCTTATGATAAATCATTGGATTATTTATAGTAAGTTAAGTGGTACTTAGAAACTGTTTTTATTTTACGAATATTTTGTAATATAAAACAATCGAACTCATTTAAATTAAAGATCCATGGAGTTTTATAGATGAGTATTTTTATATTTTGAATGCACTAATGTTATCCTGTGGTTTTCATCAATGAATTAGTGTGAAATTAGTTCTTACTAAATGCTAGTATCTAAACTTATGATAAGCTATACAGCTAAAAAACTATTCGTTTCTGCAATTAATGGAATATTAAGGGATGATAACAATAAATTACTTTAGGTTAACTGAAAATAAAAGAACTTTCAGACCTAAAATAATCCAGTATAATGGTCAAGTAAAATCATTGTGAAACCTCAAGTTTATGGGTAAATGTATCCAAATTGAGAAATCATATAATAAAATGAAAATTACTTGGTATTATCTAAAAAGATGAAAGAAAGATAAATAGGAAACTTGAATTAATTATCTTTTAAATGTTTTATGAATTGATGAACTCAAGGGACGTTTGAGAACTGTTCATACTAGAAAATTGTGATTCACTACTTAGAGAAATAAATGAACATGACATTAGTCTCTATTCAGTGATCAGTCAATTGTAGATAAATCTCAGTTTTACAAAAGATCGATCAATGTCCAGATAGCTCAGGAGTAACATCTTTGACTGCGAAGTTGAGTGACGAGGATTCAGATCTCTATAATGTTTTGAATTATTTGAATTATAGCACGAACTAAGAGTCCCAGAAATAACGCAATTGAATTAAGAAGTGAGACACTAGCACAAACGAACGTATTATATTTAGAATTCGAAATCAAGCATTCAACAAGTACAATGGTATCATTAGTTCATTCAAACACCACAATCTCACAGAGAGAATTAGTTCTTTCAAGATTACATGTACGTCCTGTTGATTAGTGCCAAATAGCAGGAAAACTAAATTAGGCTGCTTTCTCTCTTAACTACTGTCAGCCACCTAACGTCACTATCTTATGTCTTGTACACTTTAAGTTTTTTAATTATCCATTTAATGTATTTTTTAGAGTGAATTTTGTCTTATAAAATGTAGCACTGTTCGTCTATCAGTAAAAAAGCTTATATCCTCATACTATTTTTATCAGATATAAGAGAAAGCAACATGAGAATAAGGAAATATTACTAAAAAGATATTTTGTAAGAATTCCGTTAAAAAACAAACAAACATAGGAATGTTTGTTGGAAGGGTAGTAAATTTTTCAAACATGAAATCACCAGGCACTTGATAGATGATTAATAGACAGAATACGAACATCTGTAAAAGATTTAAAATAATTGACAAGCAGTTATTGCCAATTTTACTTCATTTTACATAGGGAATAACAAACTATAAAAAACATTGCCGACTTGATCTATGTATACGAAAGAGAAACAAGAAAAACCATTCTTTTTTATAATGAGGATAATAATTGAAATCACTTAAAGTTTCATTTCAACCATAAATTTATTGATGTTCAGTTATTGACTTGATTTTGTTTCTAGCTTATTTTCATCTATTATAAACCCGTTTTATTGGTAACATTTTCATTACAAATACGGAGTGATTTTTTTCATCATAGTCACTATTAGGAATTACAACATTACAATTACAACAACGCGCCCTCAAATGCCCTGTTACGGCCGAGAGTGGGGAGAGTCCGCTCGCCCTCTCGAAATGCTCTCACATGGCCACGCGTATATAGCCTCTTTCGGGGAAGTCCTACTCACTGCATTCTCGTGGCGGGGACGTTGTTTGCGAAATTGAGGGGACGAAAAGCGAATGTCCGGCGCTTCATCCGGGCTGGTGAACACGGAGAGTCCACTTAGGGGAGTTGGAAAATCCTCATTCCAAACCACTGGTTCACATGGGCTCCAGTATCCTAAAGGAATAAATGGTGTATGAACCAATCGTTGGTCACAGGCTACCATGGGGATGCATCTCCTTACGTTGCTCTACTGCCTTGTGGATCAGAACTTCATGTCGAATGCTCCGAGCGTGGCCTCCTAAGAAAACCACCTGTTTCGGTTTGGGCACCCGGGCAGTATCACAGCCCTCAAACATATCAAATGAGATTTGTGTGGCGCATATTTATTTGGTGCCTCCTTTTACCAATATCTATGTGTTAAAATAAATAAAATAATACAACATTAGCCATATTATGTAATATTGTTTTCTTAACAAATAAATAACTCACTGATGACAATGGTGGATGTGTCGTTCAATTTCGTGAATTAGTTGAAGTTAGACATTAAAATTGTTGGATGCCGGTCGGTTCAGTGGTCTAGTGGTCAAGCACTCACACGCGAGGCCGATAGGTCCTGCGTCCGAATCTCATGGGGGGTGGGATCGTGGATGCGCACTGCTGAGGAGTCCCACAATAGTACGAAACGGCCGTGCAGTGCATCCAGGTTTTCCATGTTGGTCTGTCTTCAATTGACTTATGATCTCAACTATTGAAATTATCACAATCTCCACAAAACCCAATCTGATAAATATGCATCAATCCTAATTATGTTTAATCAATACATTTTGTGTCTTATTCTTTCATTATGACTTCTAATTCTGTTTCAAACATTTTTGATTGAATAACTCCTTGTAATTTTAAACTGTTTTATAGCTAATGTAAAGCTTCGAAATAGAATGAGTTTATTCTATTCAGTAAATCCTGTTACAATGTTAAGAATTTAATGATCAGTTAGATTATAAATGAATGATATCCCAAGTAATATCTCAATGAGTAGAAAAATTAGATTTTCTGACGTTTCATGACTTAGTGTAAGACATTTCTTCAAAGAATAAATAACTAAATCAAAATTAATTCAAGTTTGAATAGTACAACGGAACAACAAGAATATTATATGATCGAACCTGTTTTTTTAATTATTTATTATTTTAATTTTAACACATAGATATTGGTAAAAGGAGGCACCAAATAAATATGCGCCACACAAATCTCATTTGATATGTTTGAGGGCTGTGATACTGCCCGGGTGCCCAAACCGAAACAGGTGGTTTTCTTAGGAGGCCACGCTCGGAGCATTCGACATGAAGTTCTGATCCACAAGGCAGTAGAGCAACGTAAGGAGATGCATCCCCATGGTAGCCTGTGACCAACGATTGGTTCATACACCATTTATTCCTTTAGGATACTGGAGCCCATGTGAACCAGTGGTTTGGAATGAGGATTTTCCAACTCCCCTAAGTGGACTCTCCGTGTTCACCAGCCCAGATGAAGCGCCGGACATTCGCTTTTCGTCCCCTCAATTTCGCAAACAACGTCCCCGCCACGAGAATGCAGTGAGTAGGACTTCCCCGGAAGAGGCTAGGGAAGTCCTACTCGCATAATATTCTTGTTGTTTCGTTGTACTATTTAAACTTGAATTAAATTTGACTTAGTTGTTTATTCTCTGAAGAAGTGACTTACATCGAGTCACGAAACGTCAGAAAATCTAATTTTTCTACTCATTAGGATATTATAAATATACTAATTAATCCATAGCAATCTATCCAATACTCAGTTTATTCGAAATTATCAAATCAAACCTACAAAAATCAGTCAAATTATATGAAATATACAATCTGTTAGTTATTATTATTTTAACATTAAGAGATGTAAAGTATAGAAAGTGAATTATTTTTTCCCTTCTTTAAGAAAACCATTAAAACTACTTTATATTTTGAAAGGCATCTTTTTTCTCTTTTTTAGTGTTCATCAGTTGTTATTAGATGATTTCAATAGAAATTGACATTTATGACTAGTGTATATGAAAATATACATATTTTAGTGAATGACTTATATTGTCTACGTTGAATATACTTTTCAATATCCTTCACGTGATTTTCTATCAGAATATAATGATTAGCTTAGATTGGGTGATATTGTTTATTTCCTTTCTATTGACTACAAATTGAAGTCAATATATATATATATATATATATATATACATTTATGATAATTGAAAATATTTATGAACAATTAATTACTTACTGGTTGAAATCATGAGTCCATTGAGGCTAAACCACCATGGAAAACCTGGAAGCACTCTAAGGCCGTTTCGTCCTAGTACGGGACTCCTCAGCGGTGCGCATCCACGATCCCGACCCTCGCGAGATTAGAATCCAGGACCTATCAGTATCGCGTGCGATCACTTAACCATTAGACCACTGAACCGACCGCTATCCAAAGATGTTAATGTCTAACTTCAACCAATCTACGAAGTTGCGCCACCATACACCATTGTCTTCGGAGAGTTGATATCTCACAACATACCTGGTTGAACTCCACTGGCCATGGCTTCTCAGTAGTACTACTGAGGAGTCTCGTATTGGGACGAGACGGCTGTCCAGTGCTTCCAGGTTTTTCATGGTGGTCTAGCTTCAATTGACTCTGGATTTCAACCAGTGAAGTTTCTAAAATCTCCACAAAACCCCTTCTGATAATTAATTACTTAGTTAATAAATAAAATTTAAACTAGAAAGTACGATGTTCTTTGATACTTATGTAATTATTTCTTGTAGTGTTCTTCTTGAAGATAACAATTAGTTTATTAGTGAAATGTTTATTATCGATGTTCACCTTTGAATAAGTGTCACGATAAGAATTTAAACAGCTGATTGATTTTCAGTTAGTCTGTGAAGGCGATATCATTTGAATATTGAACTATTTTATAAGAATGTAGGAAAAGTCAGTTGATGATGGTTTTGTAGTAAGAGGGATAAATATGTTTTTAGTTATAATTTTTATTAACATATTCAAATTATTTGAAAAACATTTTGGTTCTGGACTGAAATCTACTTTGTAAGCATTTAGAGAAGGTGATTAGTAAAATAAACATTCAATACTAGTTTAACAATCTATGGTAATGTTAAATATTTGTTTCAGTAAAGAGAAATGTCAGTTATTCCAGTCACTATTATATTATCGATTCAATGAAATGGAAAGAGTGAATCTTAACTAATTTTTAATATAGATTGATTGTCAAGAAATATTTTAATAAGTTACTGTCTTACTTCATAGGTCTTAGCTTCCAACAAGAGGTCTGAGAAATCCTCGTGACATATGATTTTTACTAGGAGTAGCAAACATCAGCTCGTGATTCACATACAAATGTATTAAAAAACCCACCTGTCTTGATATTATTTATTAAGTGAATGATCATTTCTTAAAATTAGGTTGAAACAATTGGTGACGCTTACATGATAGCATCAGGATGCCCATCACGTACAGATTATCATGCTCCATTTATTGCTGAGATGGCACTCGATATGGTTGAATCAGTTCAAACAGTTAAAGATGAATCTAAGGAACCACCAGAAAGTTTACGAATACGTGTTGGTAAGTCAAATAACTAGATTGTCTTTGTAGCGTTTTTTTCTCAAACAATTTGATTTTTAATTAGTGAAAGAAAATCAATTTTTATTAATGATGGTTCCGTTTTTTTTACCGTTCAGATTTATTGTTACAATGATCGATAGAAAAATGTAACCATTGTACCATTTGTACAGTTTTGTATCATAGAATGCAAAAATGTAACAGTATTTACCATTGAATTAACAGACTTATTTATTAAACGGTTGGAGGGATTTTATAGAAGGTATTACATCTCATATATCTATTACTAGTTGAAATCCGTCAGAAATGGTGTGTCTATTAGCATCAAGTTCATTCCCCTTAATGTTCAATTCAGTGATTTTATTACTGTACCATTCGGCTAGTTTTTAGTATCTTGTATAGATAAGACATACTTACTAGTTGATTGCTTAGTAGTAAATAATTTCGCATTGTTTAGTTGGTAATGTTGATCAAAATCTTTCGTCGATGCAGTTACAATAGAATCATTGAAATAAATTCATAGTAAATATACTTTTCATAATTCAAATGTAAATAATAATATCAAATAGTTCACTCTAGTTGTTTTGAATTTCTTAAATAAAATAGGAAATATAACCAGCATATAATACAATATTATTAAATAATTGGCCGAAATTATTAGTTGATTTGACTTATCGATTTTCTATTGTAATCATGATCTGATCTAAGTAAGACTGCCAATGGAAATCAAAAATCACTGGACAGCCGTTTCGTCCATATATGAGGTTCCTCAGCAGTGGACATCCATGACTCCGTACGGGAGAATCAAACACAGGACCTTCAGTTTTGCGCTCAAACGCTTAATCTCCACGGTAATGAGTTGGTATCTAATGATGTTAGTGTCTAGCTTCAATCAATCCACGACATTGCGCAACCATCTTTCATTGTCCTTGGTAGGTAACCGCCTCACACCCAACACGGATTGACTTCCCTGGCCACGGCTTATTACTATAACTATGAAACTTTCCTCTCAAATCTAGTCACTAGTAAGCATACTATTGGTCTAACTTAAATCAGTTCATTATTTCAATGAAGTTCAACAACTTTTATGTCTTACTGACAATTATCAGTTTTTGATAGTGTGTAGTGATCATTGGTACACTTAAATAACTAAATGACATCATTACAATAAAAAAGAAATCTCTATAAATTACTGTATTCACTTTTTAAAAAAGTAGATTGTTAGGATAAAATAATATGAATACTAAATGGTACTGAATTTCTTTATGATCACTTAATGAATGAAAGAATAAATAACATAATATACAATTTGAAACATATTTAACAAAATAAATGGAATGAACAACAACTGCATAAACAATAACAAGAAAGAAAGAACGTAGGAACGACAAGGAAACTATAAAAATAAGCTTTTGTGTGTGTGTGTTTCACTAATTAATTTGGATTTTTTTCACTGATTACCAGGGTAGTTTCATTAAATTGAAACTGAAAATTATACATTTTATTCTTTTACCTCTTTCCATTAACAAATACATATTCCATGTAGACTTTTTAAATTGAATAAGCTTTCTGTTAATTTGAATCTAGGTAAGTTAGTTCTACGAGCTTATTAGTTTACGAAGTGTCATTATACAACAATATTAAACAATGGTTAAGATTCCGTCCTAAATATCATTAGTGGATCATTAAAAAATTCTTATTAATATTGATATAGAAACTATGCCAGTTAGGTACGTTAATGGGTATCTGAACTTAAAAGCTCAATGGATACTGAGTTGAATGTTGCAATCAAAATATTATGAGTTCAAGTCATAATCTGAACATTTATATATGCCCAGTTGATGAGCCCTAAGTGGGACGAAACGTAATCATAATCTGTGTTTGCTTAACAGCTTCTGTTGTAAAATTAATTAATGCAAAGGAACGAAGAAAATTCTTTTCAATAATTTCTTATCAGGTTCTACAATTAGAAATCCAAATTAATAATCCATAAAATTGGCCAGATTTAAGGCAGAGTACATCATTTAAAATTGTAATATATGAATCAAGAATTGTTGTTTGTCATATCAAATCAAATCAAATCGTTAATGTTGGGGCTGACTAGTATGAAGTTTTTGACTTCAATCAATTTACAAGCGAAATGAAATTGTGAGATAAATGATGGGAATAAGTATGATCAACATGGGGTGAGAGAGAGAGAATAATGGAATAAAAATCAGAAATTACGTAATATGTATGATATATTGGCAGATGTTCTAGGAATTTGTACATTTTGGCTCGTGAGCACCTCCCAATGTGGTTAAGTAGAGGTGTAGTCAAAACGGTTAACAGCTCCATTTTGATCCATTTAATTCAGATGGGATAAACAGCCAACATGGAGCAATCTTTCACAATAATATATTGTGTTAACAGCAGTCTACCTAATTCAGTCAGACTGAGAATCCTATAGACGGCCGAAGCAATTGCTATTCGGGTCAAAAAGTCAGAGCTTTGCATCCAAAAAAAAAAATGTGCAGCCGCTCCTTTTTACCCTGGCCAACTAGTTAATAATCAGTTTTATAATATGGTGATGTAATTTGATTCATGTTCATTTTAATGTCCCAAACTTATCTTACCATTATTATTATTATTATTATTATTATCTTTATCATTGTTATTACTATTACACGTGATAACCGTTTTGAGATATTTATTCAGCATCCAACCCTTATCTACTATATCTGACGTAATTCATATTATTCTACATATTATGTAATTTCTGATTTCTATTCCATTATTTTCTCTCTCACCCCATGTTGACCATATTTATTCTGATCATTATTTATCTCACAATTTCATTTTATTTATAAACTGATTTAAGTTAACACTTCATATTAATCAGCCCCAAGATGAACGACTTGTTTCATACACATAGTTGCCTTTGTCATTTTGAAAAGAGCAAGAACAAAGATTCTAGCAGAATAGCATGAATTCATTTTATTTCGTAGGTTCTCGTCAGCTGCTTACAACCTGTGATATTTAAAAATCATAATTACATAATGGGTTTGATTTTATATGACAAACAAAAATTCTTGATTCACCTATTACAATTTTAAATGATGTACTCTGCCTTAAATCTGGCTAATTTTATGGATTATTAATTTGGATTTCTAATTGTAGAACCTGATGAGAAATTCATTGAAAAGACTATTCTTCGTTCATATTAATTATGTTTTAATGCAAATGATCCATACTGTACAATATCTAGTAAAATTAAAAAATTCTTTTGAAGATAGCATAGATTTAACCAACCAATTCTCATCATATTGGATAGACTTCAGAGATTTGCAAAACCTCCATGTATATACGATTGTTCCGTATTATTTTCAATACAGATTCGACAATATGTAGGTGTTATATGACATGAATAAGATCGATTTCTAAATAATTTTCTTGCTTCAAATAAAGAATGAACTACATAAAGATAATGACAGTAAGCATATCATTTTGATTACATTCTATAATAAAACATTGTCATTTGAATCCAATGTTCCATACCAACTAGCCTTTGATCTTTAATTGTGGTTTAACAGGAACTTCCTTCAGGGTCATATTTGCCAGGATTTAAGATGTGAATGTAAAAATCTGAATTCAACGGGAATTGAAAATCTACCATATAGCAGTAAAGCACTTAAATTACACATCAGTCCTAGAAAGGAACCTAAATATTTCGCTCTGACAATTAATTGTCATTGCATAAGTAACAATATAGCCATCGAGATTTTTAGCAATCTTAGAATATCGAAGATTTCACTCTGGTTGTTGTATAGTGTTATTAAAATCTAAATTATATGGGAAACATTGACGTGTATTTTCTTTGCTCTATTTGTTTCACTTCATTTACTGAGAAAAATAGATTTCATACAATCTTCAATCTTGCTTAAAGTTTCGTTTCTACAAAGATCTTTATTCCAATATGCATGATCATGCATTTAAATGAAATTCAATGACATCATACTTCACGATTTTAAGTTTTCAACATTGTTAAAGTGTTATATGATCTGTAATTTCTATGTTATATTATTCTGTTCAAACTAACAATGTTAGGCATCATAGTATGATGTGATATACAAACCAATTCAATTATTAAATTATGTTTATTCTGTTTGATCAATCTCCAAAAATTGAAGAACATAAAGTTTGCTTGAACATTTATTCGATGATTGTTTAGATCATCAATGGAAGATAATGATCAATCAACAATTGTTTTTTTCTCTAATATGGGACTCCTTAGGTGCTGCTGAAGTCGTTCTGCTATGTAAATTATCAACTTCTCTCTAGATCGTTTGATGTAAGTCACTGGATTCACTTAATCAAAGGATATAGAAGTGCTGTGTCTGTTGATATGGTTTCTGATGGGTTACAGAACTTCTACCAACCATTTTGTCATTGCATGGTATGAAGAGTTAGTCCTATTTACCATGGGACGAAGAGGAACATAGGACCAAGATATATATATATATATATATATATATATATATATATATATATCATGTAGTTAAACTAACCTTAATTATACCATAGTCGGTAATGGTTATAAGCTCAATGGATAATTCATTCCTTTTTGATACCTTGACACAGCACTCATGCTTGTATTGACATACAATAGGACGTTGATTAATTTGAATACAAAATAACAAAAACAAAAAAAGAACAGTTAACTTTTGATAAGGCAACATTCATTTACCATTTTAAAAATTCATCAGTTAATAAAGTGGAGAACGATTTATATATTTCATGTTTTTCCAATGGTATTGCTTTTCAATAGTTGAAATCATGAGTCCAGTGAGGCTAGACCACCATGGAAAACCTGGAAGCACTCTAAGGCCGTTTCGTCCTATTGTGAGACTCCTCAGCAGTGCGCATCCACGATCCCGACCCCAGCGAGATTAGAATCCAGGACCTATCAGTCTCGCGCGCGATCACTTAACCATTAGACCACTGATCCGACCGCTATCCAACGATGTTAATGTCTAAATTCAACCAATCTACGAAGTTGCGCCACCATACACCATTGTCTTCAGAGAGTTGAAGCCCACTAGTAACGGCTTCTCACTAGAACTCCAGGAAATGACTGATAGGTCCTGGGTTTGAATCTCGCGGGGGGCAGGATCGTGGACGCGCACTACTGAGGAGTCTCACAATAGGACGAAACGGCCTTAGAGTGATTCCAGGTTTTTCATGGTGGTCTATCTTTAATTGATTTATGATTTCAACCATTGAAATTTCTAAAATTCTCCACAAAACCCCTTCTGGTATTGTTTTTATTTAAAAAAATATTCATCTATTTATGTATTTAGGTGTACATTCAGGTCCAGCCGTTGCTGGTGTTGTAGGTGTAAAAATGCCACGTTATTGTTTATTCGGTAGTACAGTTACAACATCGGAACTAATGGAACAAACTAGTTCAGTAAGTTATTATATTTTCTTGCACGAAATGAGTAAAGAGATAAAAGTATATGCACTTGTATGCATGTATGTACGCACATAGTTTACGATTTACTGACTTCAATTACGACTGTTAAATTAAGTGTTGATATGCTAAGTGCAAAGCAAAAAATTTTTAACATGAGCTGATATATTAGAGGAATTTTATTCACAAGGCAGTTGAACACAACATTAAACCACCGAAACAATAATGAGACTTTGTCAAAACCTGGGTTATAAGGTTATGGTGAAGGATTGCTAAGGTCGGTAGTCTGAAGATCATTCGTTCATATTCACGTTCAAGCTTAGCTTTTCACTTTACCTTCAATTATTATCATAGTATCAGTTTTGTAGATGGTTTGAAAATATTCTTTAAATTTTCTATTTACAATTTTGTAATGCACATTATTCAAGGTGTTAAAACTCAGTATAACTTACAGTGTTTGCTTTTTGTTATTAATAAATAAGTGTAAAAGGCAAAGGGAATAGTATGTTTTTTTTCAATATTAAAAGTTTATATAAGATAGATTCTGATTTAGGTATCATTCAGTCTTTGAGATTCAAAGTTCTTAGATTGTAATAGACTGTAAATACTAGAAACAAAAGGGTTCGCGATCCAATAGTGCGTAGTGCACTAAATCTGTAAAATGCAGAAACTTTGAACTGCTATATTGTACATTTGTAAATGCATACTTACGTAGATAATTTCACTTTTTGATGTAAGAACAAGAGTTGGTGTATTTTTAGAAAAGAAGAATAAATTCATCATGATTAATGTTTGGTGGCTTTTTTTCCACTGATAACTGCCACATCCTATTTCTTTCTCTTGTTTAACGGAATAAGGAGGTAAAAAACAACTTGATTTGGATGTTATGACACTAATGGTATTTCAATCAATTACATTCCATTATCATAAACAATACACAACAGCAATAAATATCATTTCAAATCAGATTGTAGTTGATAAATGTTTCATCTTGTGCTAGACTAAATTTATCTATTTCATAAAAAAAGGGTGAAAAGAAAACTGTTGTGTCGCGGTAGAACTTTAAATACGCAATAATAAGTGTAAAACATTCAACAGTCAACTAGAATTATAGAAAATAACTATACTACTACTGTTCATATGAGGGAAGAAACCTTATGACAACGCCCCACAAGCGAATAAATATACGAAAACAATGCAGGTGATCAATAGGCGCTTATAAAGTGGATTAGTGATTTATGAATATACAGAGTACACAGAGAAAAACAAAGCACAAATGTGAAAGCTGACGATAAACCAGTTCATTTGAAACATTAATATCAAATATAATTCTCATAAACATTATGTTTCTAACCTTATAAATGTGATGAGTGATTATTGAAATTGTTTAGAATCCTTAAATTCTTTCCGGTTATTTTCATTTTTTCTTGTAAATCATGTAGTTTTTACATATGATGGTTGAGCCATCGTTGTTATCAGAAAAATTGAGTAACTCTTTAACCTATACATCATTTTTTTAATAAGTTGACATCAGCTACAAATTTGTTGAATACCAAAAGAATAATGTTCACATTGTTTCGTCTGGGTTTGAACTCATTCAGACTACTTACCAATGATCATACACGGAGTCGAGCCCATGATTTTTAAGTTGTACTGTGTAGAAGTTACTTTTCAACTACTTTATCTAAATTCAATGTTTACATTTTTAAATATTTTCTTAAATTCTCCATATCATTTCAATTATATGTAATCATATAGTTGAATGGATTGTATTTCACTCAGCATACAAAATAAGAAAAATATAGTACAGTCATCATTTTTATTCAAACTTCTAAGATAATATCTTGTAAGCGATGATGGATAGTGGCTAGTAGTGGAATCCAGGACGCGCGTTTCGTCCTGTTTGGGACTCGTCAGCTGGATGTTCCTGCATCTCAGAATTGATGTTCACTCTGAGACTCGAACCATTCGCTTCAAACGCCATCGCGTTATCCACTTAGCTACTGAGTCCTGATAGCCACTTGCCTGTGTAAAGGGATGAATTGAAATTCACTGATCAATTACAGTCTTAAACTTCAATGGGGAGATATAAGCCAAATAATGCCAAGTGAATTATAAGATAATATTTTGTACAAGAATGAATATAATCAATTGGAAGATATTCACCTACATCATATTTTAATACATCAATCTGAATAAATTTAATTAGTTAATTAGTTCATTCTACTTTCTTTATTCTATTGATTATGAACATCATGATAAACTGTATTGTCTAGACATGTTCAATAAAGTTTGCCGTTTGTTATAGATATTAAAGAGGAAATAATTGTAGTATTAAATACATTGGTACTCGTTATCGGTATACATTATAATTCCCTTAGGTTAACTCCATTTAATGCATTCCTCTGTTTAATTTTGTACACAATTTATCGACTAACTCAATTAAGCTATGATGATATAAAAATTCGAATATGAAATTTACTGAACATCAATATATTCCAAACACTGACACGGCAATAGACAAACAGTAGTAATGAGTGGAATCATAGACGGTATGGTGACAATGTGATCCTATTAGGTGCGATTGAAATAACATAAATGAGGCAAAAAATGTATGAAGTATAAATGGGTAAATAGATAACTAAATAGACTGTATATAAAGATAGACATTAGACACACATTTATGTTCAAATAGAAAAGTACGCAACTAATTTAATGTCTAATGTTAAATCAAAGTAACTAAAGTAGTCAAAATGACACCTACACTTGATCGGCACAGTTTTATGTGACCACAGAGAGTTTGACTTGTGGCGCACATCAATAGATCAGAGGGGTTCGGTACAATACAACACAACTACAGAAGTGATAATAAATAAGGACCTTAGTGTTGGTGGTGAGTATGACACTGTCAGAAGCTACTGGTTTACATCTTCAACACCGACCAATTATCAAATACAAATCGACAGCAGTAACTTACAGAATAGAATAATTTTCTTGGCTAATTGTTTTATTAGCTTAGTTCATACTTTTATAAATCATCAAGAGTTTCTTCAACTATTTCTGTTTAGCCTCAAAGAATACAAGTCAGTGTGAAAGCATATGAAAATCTTTTAAAATACGGTGTTTATGATTTAACTGAGAAGGGAAGAGTTGAATTAAAAGTGAGTAAAATTTCATTCTCGTTTCGTTTTTGATTTTGTTAAAATCGTTTATGCTGAAATTAAGACAACTTTCTAGCATTTGATTGCTCGCTAAGTGGTGACCCATATAATCTAAGTCAAGTCCATTTTGGTATTGATCGATTTCCACCGATCCCGTTGTAATACGGCCACTAGTTTAAGTGACTTGATTTCGCATGTACTATGTTGAAATGTCTGGTGGTAGCTGGAGGAAGTAGACCGGAACTCCTGAACCTTGATCAACAGAATTCTATCAGAGCTGAAAAGGACGTGACATATATGACATTTTTCATTTCTCAGTGATCAATCATTTGTAAATACATCTCAGTCCCACATGTCAGTTAAGGCCTGGATGGCTCAGTAGTAACGTCCCTGACTGAGAACCTGAGTAATGCACAATGGAGTCAGCCGGAGAGCATCGATTCCTTCAAAGTTATAGGTACACCTTGTTAACTGATGTCCAATAGCACGAAACATAAGTCAAGCTAGGTTCCTTTTCGACTAAATCCAACTAACACATTACGTCTGAATATTATTTTGTGTATATTCATGAGAAAATCTATTTCTTTATTTAAAAAGATGATATTCTATTCAAACAGTTAATTTATTCTTGATTAAACAATCACAACACGTTTCGTTCCAGTTGAACAAATGCGTGACAACCATGACTTAATGCCTAGGGGTATTAACACGCTGGCTTTTAAAGTCATAGGTATTTATTATGACGAGTGGTGTACGAATTCTGATACTGATACATAAAGTGTCACACTCTAACTCCCCAAATGACTACTTGAGCGAGAACAAAAGAGTGGACGAGAAAGTATATTGAGCTACTAAATAAAATGCAAAAATACTGATCTATATAGGTACAACTCTACTCCTAAGGGAATCAATTCACTTCTTAGCCAATGAAACGCACTTGTCCTTCAGATCACTTCTGATTGCCGTCAATTGACATTCTCATTTGGTTACTTCTGGTTGTCTTACCATGTCAATATTGGGTCTCATTTTCAATGTGAACGTCAGCATTGGGATACAGTTACATCTAGATGACAAGTAACACGTTAAACAAGATGAACGTGATGGATTTCACTGCTTATTACTCTTCAAAATATACTTGATTTCTAAGAATAATCATTACCAAGAAATCTGTACGACAGAGATTGATCAAATTTCAACTCTGAATATCGACAGCCAAGAATATACGATTCTTCACAAATGATCATATGAAATAAATTGTTCAATCAGTTCATACAAGCATTTTAACCGTTCGGTTAATATGCTACTGTTTTCTTTGCAATTATATAAAAGCAGAAACAAATTTTGGATAATTAATCAGTGATTAGTTAAGTTAATAACTATGAAGAACCTAAATCAGTTTTGAAATAAAAGGAATAAAGTAAAAACCAGTTAAAAGCTACTAATCACATGATGAACACTGTATTTAATAGGTTTTTTGAACCAAATACTATTCAGTTCATTTTGTATTGTTTGCTTCAATCTTCCTATTGATGTTTAGGACTGCAATCGATCAGTCTCTTATTGGCATACGTGCATGCTGAGCGGATTGTATCGGTATTGCCTCAAGTCATAATCATTATAAGCTGAGATGATGGTGGCTAGCAGTGGAATTCAGGACGCGCGTTTCGTCCTTTTCGAGACTCGTCCAAGAGTGAACACCAACTCTGGAATGCAGGCACATCAAACTGACGAGTCCCAAATGGGACGAAACGCGCTTCCTGAATTCCACTGCTAGATACCATCATCTCAGCTTATAAATACTGTTCACTAATAAATTATGTAAAATAAAATATTCCATTCGAGGTAAGCATAAGCACAGAACTGCTGATTTACGTTGTGAACTTAATTTCTATCCATGATTATCTGATAAATATTTCACTTGAAACATCTTGATTGAAAATCTTATTTGTAAGTAATAGCTTTGATAACCTAACATATTTGCATTGATACACTCACTTAACCAGTGTTTCCATCTGACAAATTTTATTCGTAAATAATTTGGAATATAATGTTTCCCGGTAAATTATTCGTTCATATCAGTAATTGATCAGTCAATTGAATCATCCGATTTTTTGTTCATTTTTAATTGTTACATTAATAACAGTGTTTTTTCTTGTAGAAGGAATCACTTAGACTATTTGGAAATACTATTCAAAGTGAAAATTTCATTTTCTAGTTTACTATTCGTATATTAACTTCCTTTATAATCGGATCAGATAAACACCAAGACTTCCTCGAGTATATTAACTTCAGTATGGGATTTTGGAGATGTTTATGTCTTATTGAGGTCACTAACAAATCTAAGTTGGACAACCATTGAAAAAAAATTAAATGATGACTTCAGGAGTCAGTCTAAGCTAAGCCACCATTGAAAACCTGGAAGCACTGAACAGCCGTTTCGTCCTAGTATGAGGCTCCTCAGTAGTACACGCCCTTGATCTCGCAAGCGTGACTCAAGCCCAAGACCTACCGGATGCGCACTAATATGAAGTTTCATACTAGGACGAAACGGCCGTTCAGTGCTTCCAGGTTTATATGTATAATTTATATTTATAGGACTGTAACATTCATACAAGACAATGATTATTGCTAAGAACAATTTTTCTTATTATTTATTAAAAGGATGGTGGTACAATATTAACTTATTGGTTAAATGGTAGATCAAATTCTTCAGACGATGAGAAAACTGCTAAATTCTTAGATGAATTAAATACTGAACGTGAAAGAATTGCCGATTCTAATATGGCTTCATCACATCAACATTCTGGTGAAAGCTGGGAATCTGTAACAGCTAGTCGTTGTAGTTCCGCTAGAACATTGGCATCAAAACGTAGTTCAATGTCAATATCTCAACGTGCTAGTTTAGCAGATCCAGGAATTGATATAAAATCAATGGCAAGATTAAAAAGTTTAGCACAAATTAACGAAAATAATAAACGTCAAAGTATTACAAAGTAGAAATTGAAACAAACAAACAAACAAACAAACAAACAAAAAGTCCCTAAATGAATAAACAATGACAATATAGAAACATTTAAAAATGAAAAGAGAGAAGAGTGAATATTTATTATTATTATTTTTGTTGGTTTTGTTTTCATTGTTTCGTTGTATTTATTATTCTCCTACTTCGTTTAATTATTAAGAGAAACAACAACAAACATTTGATTGAACATAATTGAGACGAAATATGTTTATCAATTAAATAAGGAGAATGTTTATTTAGAGTTAATATTTGTATGTATTTAATTAACTGACACATTATTATTATTATTACTATTACTACTATTATTATTATTATTATTATCGTTATTATTATTACTATTATATTGATAGTTTCAGAGGGATCATTAATAACTTTTCAATTAATGTAATTTATTAATTGTTAATATGATTTCATTTATTGATAAATAACTAGAAATAATTAAAGATAATTACATTTTATTGATTAGTATTTTAATAATAATAATAATAATAAAATAACTTTTCGATTGTTCAAATGAATGAATCAAATTCTAATGAATTAATAATATACAATAATGTAATATGACCAAATGATATAAGCCTATTGGAATGTATTAATATTAAAAACAAAACTATAAGACAGAAGAATAGATATTGAGGCAATACGTACAGGATGTACATATGCCAATATGAGACTGATCAATTGCAGTCCTAAACATCAATGGGAAGATTCAAGTAAACTATACCAAGTGAAATTAGATGAATAGATTATTTATACAATTAAATTATGCGGTTAATATATATAAAATATTAAAACGAAAAACAAGATGATAAAATGACATCAGTGATTAGAGGAAATCACTTTGTAGGTTGCTCACTTACTTACTTACTTACGCCTGTCACTCCTCGTGGAGGAGCATAAACCGCTCACCGGCATTCTCCATCCAAGCCTGTCCTGGGTAATCCTTTCCAGTTATTATTCATCCTTCCCATATCTGCTTCTATTTCCTGACGTAATGTGTTCTTTAGCCTTCCTCTTTTCCGCTTCCCTTCAGGATTCCAGGTTAGGGCTTGCCTCGTGATGCAGTTTGGTGATTGGCGTAATGTATGTCCTATCCATTTCCATCGTCTTTTCCTAATTTCCTCTTCAGCTGGAAGCTGGTTTGTCTTCTCCCAGAGAAGGCTGTTGCTGATGATATCCGGCCAATGGATGTTGAATATCTTGTTTAGACAGCTATTTATAAATACTTATACCTTCTTGATTGGTTGTAGTAGTCCTTCAAGTTTCAGCTCCGTACAGCAGGACTGCCATGACGTTCGTATTGAAGATTCTCACTTTGATATTGGTTGAAAGTTGTTTTGAGTTCCATATGTTTTTCAGTTGTAGGAATGCGGCCCTTGCTTTGCTAATCCTCGCCTTTACGTCTGCATCCGATCCTCCTTGTTCATCGATGGTGCTTCCCAGGTACGTAAAGGACTCCACATCTTGCAGAGTTTCGCCATCAAGAGTGATTAAGTTAGTGTTCTCCGTGTTGTATTTGAAGATCTTGCCTGTTCCCTTGTGTATGTTGAGGCCCACTGATGCAGAGACTGCTGCTACACTAGTTGTCTTCATCTGCGTTTGTTGGTGTGTATGGGATAGGAGGGCTAGGTCATCTGCGAAGTCAAAGTCGTCTAATTGGTTCTGAGTTGTCCATTGTATTCCGTGTTTACCTTCAGATATCGAGGTCCTCATAATCCAGTCGACCATCAGAAGAAGGAGGAAGGGAGAGAGTAGACAACCTTGTCTGACTACGGTCCTCACTTGGAATGCATCTGTCAGTTGTCTTCCATGCACGACTTTGCACTGTATTCCGTCATATTAGTTCCGGATAATGTTGACAATCTTCTCAGGAACTCCGTAGTGTCGAAGAAGTTCCCATAACGTTCTCCTATCTACACTGTTAAATGCCTTTTCACAATCAATGAAGTTGATGTACATTGAAGAATTCTACTCAACTGATTGTTCGACGATGTCGCAATTTGGTCTGTGCACGACCGATCCCTACGGAATCCAGCTTGTCGATCTCGAATCTGGGCGTCTACTGCATCTTTCATCCAGTTCAGCAACACTCTGTTGAAGACTCTCCCTGATACTGACAGTAGTGTGACGCCTTTGTAGTTTTTACATTTGCTCAGATCTTTCTTTGGAATCTTAATGAGGTGTCCTTCTTTCCAGTTCATCGGAGCCTGTTCCTCCTCTCAAATCTTTTGGAATAGAAGGTGAAGCATGTTTGTAGTTACTTCGATGTCTGACCTCAGTGCCTCAGCTGGTATGTTGTCGGGTCCTGCTGCTTGTCCGCTCTTGATTTGTCTGATAGCTATTCTGATTTCTTCCGTCGTTGGTGGATTGACATCTATAGGAAGATCTGTGTGTGCTGCTTCAATGTCCGGTGGATTCATTGGAGCCGACCTATTCAAGATTTCCTCGAAGTACTCTACCCATCTGTTCTGCTGTTTTTGAATTTCAGTGATTGGCCTACCTTCTTTGTCTTTGACCAGTCTCTCTGGTTTACTGTATTTCCCTGCTAGTTTCTTCGTTGTATCGTAAAGTTGTTTCATATTTCCCTCTCTAGCATCTTTTTCCGCCGTCGTTGCTAGTTCTTCCACATACTTCTTCTTGTCGGTTCTAATGCTCCTCTTCACTCGCTTGTTTGCTTCTATATATTCAGCTTGTGCTTGGACTTTCTCTGCTCGTGTTCGGCAGTTGTTAATTGCTGCCTTCTAGTTCTTCCTTTCTTTGATCCTGTCCAGTGTTTCTATAGAGATCCATTCCTTATGATGATGCTTCTTGCGGCCCAGAACCTCTTGACACTTTGGAGTTAATGCTTCTTTGATACCTTCCCAGCTGTCCTCCATAGTAGTTCCTTCTTCCTTCAGTAGATCCTGTAAGGCTTGCAACTTATTGTTGAGAGTTATCTTAAATTCGTTGAGTTTGTTAGTATCTCGAACGAAGGCTGTATTGAACCTTTGTAATGCTAATTGATTTTAGATTTTATGTTAGTAGGAACTATTTAATAAGACATATTTGTAATTCTAAATGAACTGACCGCTTTCCTGTGTTACTCAATATTACAGTCAATGAGTTATCATTGACTTCTCAGACCTATTCGATTGACGATTTGAGATTCTGTCTCATGAAAAAAAATCACTAGTTCGATTTCATATGAAGAGCAAAAATTAAACTTAACAGTCAAGTTTCAATTGAATTAATTTTTCTGGTTAGCTAACCAGAAATCTAAAGTCAAAGCCATGGGACGGCCCCCTAGAAAGCGCAGTGAAGCCTTCAGGGGCTTTAGAGGATCTGAAAAGATCCCATCTGATAAGAACCTGAGAGAAATTTCTAGAATATCAACGTCAGTTGCTACAATCGGACAATTGTATAATTTTCTACATGCCGATTGACTGGATTATAATGATGTTATAACTTATACCATCAACTATAAATATTTCTGTTTTTCTGTACATTCTTGACATTTACTCAATAACGGCTTCTCATGCCTTCTTTCTTTTTTTGATTTGAGACTGTGGGTTTTCTATGCGTTCGAGTGCCGATAGCCGTATTAGCCTTAATTAAATAGAGGACATAAGAAAAGCTGTCTTCGGTTTAATGTCTCATTCTGAATAATATGTATGTAGTCAGGTTTTTTATTACATTTCAGAACTCTTAAATACTAGAATAGTTATGCAGAAGTAGTGAGATAAAGCACATCTAAACCGAATAATTTAGACTCATAACTTTTCATTTTAATATATCTGACAATTATTTTTAAATAAAAACTGTATTGACAGTTAACGCTCAATTTATTGTTTTTTTTTAATCTCTAATAGACTAAACTGATTTGTTGTCGAGAGATTTATTGAACTTTGAGTTAGCTTATGTTACAAATTGATATCGAGGTAAAAATAAATAAATAGTTAGTTTGTTCTAGTTTGAGGCTTCTTAACTATGAACACTTATCATTTACACGTAACGACAGAACAGAAGGTATACAGATGTGGTGGTGAAAGCTTGATTATTAAATCGCTGAGTTACTTCACATTTCCAACTTTAGTCAATCCATAACATGGAGTGATTGTAATACCAAATCATATGTGAAAACGATAACAATAAAGGTTGTGTAACGTCCACAGGATATGAGTTACTTAAGAAGAGGTATAAAACTAGCGGTGTATATTATAATAAGCTAATTTAAAATCCGAAGGGTTTGTAGAGAATGTCATATTGTATAAATTACATCCATACTAGGACGGAACAGTCATCCAGAACTTCTTAGTTTCAAATATTTGTCTAGATAAGGTTAATCTATTGTGAACCATGAAACTGTTGAGAATATTTGTTTATTTCATTAATAAAAATTAAAAGTATTTAGAAAATTATGTAAAATATTATCATGAACAAATGATAATGGGAAAGTAAACAGATATGATAAATGTACAGCTAAATTATATTGTAAAAGCATCGTAGCGCTGACTGTTTGTTAGATTTTCATAGTTTACCAAAGTAGTTATTACATGCACTTTATGTATATCTTTGTGTACGTTCATTCAACTCCCTTTTCAAGGTCAACACTATTAAAATTAACTGACAAAATCAAATATTGTTTTCTCAACCAATAAGAATTCACTTGACCTAATCTATGCAACAAATCATAAAATTATCTTATAAGGGTAATATTTGTAATCAATTAATAATAACGATACTTGAAGTGGTGGTGGTGGTGGTGGTGGTGATAATATAAACAAAATCATTTATTTTCTTTGTTACTTGTTTTTCTCGTTTATTCACTGTTTAAAGGAGATAGAGAAGAAATGGTTTCACGCAGTAATTATTATACAGAATGGTTAATAGTAAGCTAGAGGACTAGGAATGACACGTTGATGTAAAAAACAAAAACCCACTAGAAATTAGTAGTGATAATCATATTATTAAGTGTGAAAATTAGATTTGCACTTACCTTAAACTAAAAATCTGTATATATTAAGCTTTGACTCGGTCATTTATGGAAGAAAAGTAGTGAACTAAATTTAATAATTTTTCTCAAAATACTTGATAGATAATCCTTGATGTCTACTAATCACACTCAATATACAGTAACACCTACTTATAGTATACTTAACTCTTCATTAGAAGTGAAACTCTCTCGTTCTAAAACTTATCTGTAAAAAGACTACTTAAGAAATGAATTTTTATAACTCTAGATTAGTTTATCTCAATATGTTTGTGAAATGAAATTCATTACTATTATTTAGTCGGTTCATTGATGATCATTCCCTCTCTGATAATGTCTTAAAAATGCTCTCTTACGTCTATGACTATATCCTACTTTACTAGTGAAGTTATAGAGAGATTAAATGTTTATTTATTGTTATAATTGAGTTCACTTAATAAACTTCGGTTACTGAAGTCGTTTTACAAACATGCTGTCTCTGGTTAAGCTGATTGGTTTGAATAATATTTATCCAAATCACTAAGTCATAGGACAATCTAGAATACTTATAACAGCAGATTTATTGCAGTAGTTTTCGCTGCTGTTGTTCTGTACTTTTTTTTCTAGTTGTAGATGATTACAAATAATCTGTAACGGGACTGGAAGTATTTCTCAATAGACCATTCACTCACCAACAAAATGTCCTAGTCTTCTTTTGAAGAATTACTGCTTACAAATGTTGCCCCCTTGTGACCAATGTCCCCTCAAAACAATTTGTAAACCACATATTTTCAAAAAATTTAATCTTATATCTCCGTACTTTACATGTAGCATCGCTTACTGTATCAACCTGTCATGACTTTAAACTGGAATGCATTCTGTAATTATTTCCAGATGGTGATTTGTAATTTTGGTACATATGATTATTCGAATAGTAGGAAATTCCTCAGTAACAAGATCCCTTCTCCTATAGTACTAAATCAACGTTCTGACCAGAGCTGCAAACGGATCTGTTACATACAATAAATCTAAGTCTGTTAGTAGTATTTGCTCAAACGTAGGATAATTTAATTTGTGTTGCAGTCCTAATTACTTGTTCAGTTTCTTCTGTTGAGATAACTATATTGATGGAACGTGGTTGGTAAGTTAAGGAGTATCTTTCTTTATGGTTCAGAAAAGGTCGGACAAAGTCTATACACAATTCCCTTACATCACATCTAATCAATAGTAGCCAACTGGTAAATAGATATAAATAATTGAAGGTAGTATTTAGTTCTCCATCTGAATTTTTTTCTATCTATTTCGTTCGTATTCATTGATTACATTCTTATAAAAGTTACAGAGATCCAAGTTTTGTCTTCTAAAAAATATTTGTGATAACGCGATTCGGTTTTTAACTGAAGAAGACTTTGAAAACAATTTTACCAGTCATTCATCCTTCTACCATTTTTATTCATTCTTTCCTTATGTTATCTTCATTAGACAGTGGAGAGGAAACCTTGAATTTTGTGCTAATTGACACTTGTCAGCAACGCGAACTTGTAATTTTGAGACATTAGGTGATTGGAGTGTGATCGAGAAGAGGTATTGAGTATAGGTTTTCTTTACTAATGGATTTAGATAAAGATTATTACTACGCTTCGTCGTTTGATACATTACGTAATATTTGATAGAATATCTGAGAGAAATAATGATTAGCCACAGTGGCACATTCAGTTTATATACCGAAGTAGCAAGGAAAAACTGAGTTAATCCACCTCATTTTCTATGACTGAACATTTTATTCATCATTCTTTTTGACGAGTTTTCCACGTCACATAAAATAACTATTGAAACTAAGTAGTGGACAGCTGTTACATCCTAGTATAGGACTTTTCGTTAGTGCACATCGATGACCCGGACCCCCACCCCGAAATTGAACTCAGGACGTTAAGATCTTGCGACTAGACCTTAAACTGTAGACCACTGAGCCTGCATACAGTGTTGAACTCCTATTAATTATCAATCTTCCAAGTTATTAATGGGCAGCTGACTTAAATCCAACGTAGTTGAACTCCACTGGTCGCTGTTTTACATTAGAACTCACGAAATCGCCTCTCGAAACCAGTTAGTTACTTTGAATGATTTTATTTTTTGTTACAAATTCTCTCTATTTACTCAACACAATTTTTCTTGCAGTTTGTTATTACTGTTTGAGACGCTATTTACTTTTCAAATGATTACAGCCATATCTTATTTAAATTTTTCAGTGATTTTTTGTTAGATTAAGATACACTATGGAAAACAATGGACATGTAGATTTGAAGAGCCACAACTATTTGTTTATTTAAAGTAAATGATGGTTACATTTTTTTATACGCTATATATATAGCGTAGTTAGTGAACCAAAGGTGATCCATAAATACAGACAGTATCATAAGGGTTTATTTGTTTTACAATATCAATATTTATTCTAATTATTCAATCTAGGTGTCTTAGAATGCTTTTATTCTAACTAAAATAATATCAGCCTAATTAGTAGAAATCGAGGCTGTATAATTCATATATCTCTATGGATATTTAGGAGTTTTGATGATCGTGTAAAGTCATACAGTTCTATTCGTGAATTTCTAAATATCATCCATCACATACTAAGTGATTAAGTAGTATTGATCAGTATGATTTTATTGGTATAAATAGGTCTAGCTCCTATGTGACCACTAGTCTAGAAGGCCTGAAATTACAGTAGATATTTTTTCGGTGTTAGAAGGTTGAATGCGACTAAAACTTAGTCTTAAACATATATTTCTGAATAGTTGACACAATATTATAAAAAAGCACTGCTGATGAGTACTGACGTCTTACATTAAAAATTATAGTTAAGAAAAGGAAAAATCATAATAATCACGAATTATTTACTTATTCATTTGATAGGCATCGGAAATATATTGAATGAAATATTAGCTAGATTGTAGCTTTAATGGAATAAGATGATATATAATCAATACTCTGGATTTGCTCATGAATTGTTTTTATCGTACAACACCAAGTAATGATTAAAAAGGAAAGATATGGAGTGCCACATTTCGATTAAAGCTAATCATTTAAGTTTTTGAGTAAATGACTAACACGGGTAAATTTAAAACTTTAAATAAGGACTAAAACTATTCACTAACCTACATATTTCAGGTATCATGTTCATCAAAGTGACATGCCACATTTTTACAAATAATGTATACATAAATGTTGTTTATGCTTGTAAAAGAGCAGGAGATTATTATAACACCAAACACTTACTAACTTCTGACGCAGTAGTGAACCTTGTTTTTTTCCAGAAGAATAAAATGTATGTAGACTGAATACGATTTTACACGGTTCGACAGGTAAACTTCATGTTTATTTTGGTTAAAATATGCTAAAATTAGTAGCATTTACCTTGTAAATACTTTAAGTTAATTTTATCAATACTTAAATCGACGTTTCACAACAAACAATCATTTTAATTCCAAATGGTGTTAGATGCTAGATTTTGGGGGGGAAATTCTTCTTTACCTTTCTCTCTTTCTCTAGACTGACTGTAATACATGGAGTTGATAAAATGTTAAACTTAAATGCATTTTTATATGTAGGTTAGTTTGAAATAACTCCGAAGAGGACAGTAATCGAGCAACCTTTGTTGTATTATATCCATCCTGAATATAACTTTTTGTTAAATAAAGAATTCCAATGATTAAACGAAGATAATCACCCTATCAAACTTCATGATATAAGCGTTCGTGCGCCAGACGAAGGTCCTGGGTCCGGATCCCGTGTACGGGATCGTGGATGCGTACTGCTGAGGACGGAACGGCCGTCCAGTGTTTCCAAGCTTTCAATGTTGGTCTAACATTCATCGATTCATGATCTCAATCAAAAACTAAACAATCTCCACAACTCTACACTGATAATAGTTATTAAATTTTACATTTAATGAAGGCTTTTGTTTAGTTTTACCTTACATTCCAATTAGCCCCCATACAAATACAACAGTTATTAAGAGAAAATGTTTATATTAAAGACATACATACATAGAATTCATTAGTGAAAATACAACATAAATGGAGTAGAGTAGAGAAGGAAATAATGGTGCTAAACAAATACAGGGTGGAGATGAAATTCAATAAATTAATTAGTTATTAGCTAACTCATCATGATTAACTCAAGTGTATTTTTAAGCAAAATAAACGTACAAAAAATAAATTACAATTTTACATGGAAGACAAATAAGTGAATGTTAGGTATAAAAATTAAAAACTAAAAGATAATTAATTATTTATGTCTGAAAGTAACCACACAAACACACACATAAATACACAATACATGGATTGATTGATTGATTGATTAAACATGATGAGATCATTAAAATTGCCGATAACAAGAACAACAACAAAATAGAAATAAACACAGAACAAAATATTACATTATCGCAATTAACAATCATCACGGTTCATTCAACAAACTTATTAATGGTCTCATCTATTTACTAAACTTCTAGGTGTGTATGAGGAGGGGTAGCGATAGATTTTACGACATGTTTGTGTACTTAAAATGATTTATTTATTGAATAGATAAATAAAAAGTAATTATAAATCAGAGTAGTCGAGTATTCATAACATAACAGATATAATAGTGGTGTAAACAACATTGATAATACTAGTAATAGTAATAATTATTACCATTATTAAATAAGGCACAAGATTTCTTTACGAAAATTATAATAATTATATTAAAACACAGAAATGATCGTACTGTTCAGGCTTTATTCTGTCAAGTAATAAGTAGTTGAAGATAAAGAAAACTGTGTACGTGTGTACTTTGTGTTTGCTGAGTGGAGAAATCATAGGGGGAAGGGAAGATAAGTAGCTCTGTGAGAGATGTATAACTGTATGTGTATGCATACTTCTCCAGTAAGCAAAATATAAATATAAGGATATACACACACGTACACATACAAATCAATATGCACAAATTTCATTTCAATGAAGCAAGATCCGCAAATTACATGATCAAAGTGTGGGATGCAAAAGGAATGAACCAATTATCCGCCACTAAAACAAAAACAAATTGGGATATATATATATAGTTTCACGTGGTGTACAACTCATTCCTTGTTCCCACATTCGTCCAACTATTCTAATCAGCTTAACTCAATGTGTAATTGAAATGTGTTTCATCCCAATTTGTTTTTGTTTTAGTGGCGGATAATTGGTTCATTCCTTTTGCATCCCACACTTTGATCATGTAATTTGCGGATCTTGCTTCATTGAAATGAAATTTGTGCATATTGATTTGTATGTGTACGTGTGTGTATATCCTTATATTTATATTTTGCTTACTGGAGAAGTATGCATACACATACAGTTATACATCTCTCACAGAGCTACTTATCTTCCCTTCCCCCTATGATTTCTCCACTCAGCAAACACAAAGTACACACGTACACAGTTTTCTTTATCTTCAACTACTTATTACTTGACAGAATAAAGCCATGTCATAAGGTTTTTTTTAGTAAAATCTAATCCCTTTATCTTCCATCTTTCCATTTATTTTTGTTTACCGTTTAGCTAATCGGTATTCTAATAGAGTGCCATAGTTTCCATCGTCAACATTATACTTAGCACATAATGCTAATTGGTTTTCTATGCCCCAATACGGTTTTAGACAAACTTGACCAATCCAACAATCATTAACTTTACTTAAATGTGTCCAATCTTCACCGACAACAACAGCAACTGCATGTGCAGTTGGTATGGTGACACGAAACGGTACAGTATCAGCAGTTGGTTGATTTGATCCACTAGGATATAATATACCATCCATTGGTGTATGAAGATAACAACCTTCTTTCCATTGGGCGAATTGTTGTGGAAAACACATTACATGACCATTTCTTCCACGATTAACCTGAGTTGCTTCCAATAGATAATTATAGACACTAGGAAGTGATTCGCCTGGTTCCGTATAAGGAAGAGCATATATTTGAAATTTGAAAAATCCTGGATGAGGGAAACGTATAACAAAGTAGATTTGGAAGTCACGTGTTTGTTGAAGAATCTGAAATGAGGAGAAAAGGAGAGAACAAAACGTAAAGAAGCCGAAAGTTAGATTACTGAGTATGTTTGCGTAAAGAGAATTAAATAAATGACAGAATTAGGTTTTGAAAACTTCTCGCAGCAAACATATATTGTTGATTTGATGGCTAGTCGAGATTCAAGTTTAGATTGAAGATGATTTTTGGTTACAGGTCATGATAGTAAAGGAAGAGCAATTGAACAACTGTTTCGTCCAACTTCAGAACTCCGTATGGTGGTGGACCTCAGTAATCATTTACCATCAGAGGATTCTCGGGAAGCGTATTACCATTCTGTGATTTAATTGAGACCCAATTGTTCAACATTTATTAATCGAGATATAGCGTGACGATCATCAGACGCTTTAGTTAATAAATGTCATAATCTCGAAATAATTGAACTTCACCCGTTGCAAATCTTGCTGGACATTTTAAAAGCTCATTAGAAAAGTAATCACTGAAGAGAACAAGCTTATAAGTTCTGTAGGTTATTTGTGGAGATTTAATCAATTCGAAGATAGTTTTAGCTTTAAACTGACAAATATCATACATTATTTGCTTAGTAAAATACTTTTTTTGGAATCTGTTCAATTTTTAACAAACAAAAAACAGTAATTTCAGTGGCTGTGATGACGGCGTTAGTGTAATAGTAGATTGAAAGAAAGCTAGATGTAACTGAACCAGCACTTGGGACTTGGAACCAATCCATAGAGTCACTGACTGTTGAATTGAGCCATGCAGGTAGGTGAAAACTAAATGGTTAGGGTCCGTATGATTATCGTAAACAATGATTGGAGACTTTGGGTGAAATGGCTGGTTAAGAATCGATCGCAATAGCCCAGGTAAATTCCTTCTTTGTTTTCCTTTAGGCCCTAAGTTTCTAAATTACTTTGTCAATTTTCTTTCATTTCGTTAGTCCACAACTTCTTGAGTCGTATATTCTACGCGTAATATATCCTATTGCCGCTAATATTGTTACTAATGAGATGTGCCTTAACAAGTTTATCACGCTTATAAGATGTGGCGACTTGAACTGATACAAATATAGCCTGGGTCTAATGTTGTTTATGAGTAATTGACTGAATTTCATTAGCCAGAATCATGGTCAAATTTGAGTTTGATCATCAAATGAAACATCAGTAAGCAGAAGCATGAGTTGATGAGTCGTGCATAAGACGAAACGCCTTTGTTGAACTCTACCGATGGTCAATAGTAAATACTGTCGTTAAAAGACAGGAGGGAACTATCGAGACATCCGTCTAAGAAGCACACTGATGATCTATACAGTCATACAGAAAACATGGATGGACGAAAAAGTTCTGATAAGATGTTTACAACGTTTCTAGTCAAATAAAGAAAAAAAGCACAACGTAAACTTGAAGACTGGACCAAATACAATGACTCAATTATGTACAAGCAAATATTTGATTTTAAATAAGAAAGCATGAGATAGGACATACTTGCTGTGAACAATCTTCCGATACATCATGACTACAGTGTATTAATTGTGCCATAATTCGTAAAGGTTTATCAGGATGCCGAGCAAATTGAATACACAGTTCACCAGTATTAGCTTGAATAAATGGATCTGTATGACTTAAAGCTTTTAAACCCATTGAATCAAAACGTGAAACTGGACCTAAATAGGTTGGCGGAATAGTTGGTAGACCACGAACTGGAGAATCACAATCTGATATAATAATATATTGCCATACCTTGAGAAATTAAATAAGAATGTATGGAAACTGAGAGAATCTCATACATTTATAATTGAGTAGTGTACACTTTATCGAATATTTTCATTGAATAAAAAAATTTATATTATGTACAACCCAGTAGCCAACTATAGACTCAAATATTAGGTTTTGAGTTACATATATTGTGTAAGAGGGTTAAAAGAAAATAATGCCACACAATCCACCAATATATAGAGTGGAGTTAAGAAGATATTTGAGAGTTAACTGAGTAGATTAATAAGTAATGAATCCAGTAGAAAGTGATGTGAAATTATTATGACATTCCAAAAAAACAGAAAGAATATTAATTTCATTACAAGTTCATCTTAACAGTAAGATTGTACAACTATTTTAGAGAAATCCAGTCTAGAATCATGAAGATTAGTGATGAAATCATCAGATTTATATATTGTAAGTTTAATTTCTAAGACTAATATGTTCAATTTCATATACATAAAGATATAAGTTAAACGATCATTGGCTACTTTTCCTCACAGAACGAAGTATCACAGTAGTATATACATTTAGTCATTGGAGTATTGAGGAAATATATTTTGACAAGAAATTGGAATATACTGACTTGCTAATAAGGATTTTTTCAAAGGCTTTTTAATGTTCATTTACACCAATAGAAAATAAAACAATCTATTCTATTATCAGTATGGAATTGTGGAGATTGTTGAATTTCATTGAAATTACAAACTGATCCAAGTTAGATAACCATTAAAAAGCTTGAAGCACTGGAAAGGCGTTTCGTCGACATAATGATTAATTGAAGTACCAGTGTATGTTTCATTTAAAGACGGTTATTTATAAACTTTTCAACTGAACAACATATATGGCATCATAAACCTTGATTCAGCGGAGTGAAACTAAAGGCAGTGTATCTTCCATTCACTTGTATGTTGTTTATCTACTACAAAAAACTGTTAGTGTATACCATTAGAAAACAATTCCATGTAGATATATTATCCACACAGTGAACATAGTACGAATTATAAGCATATAAGATTTTGTCTATTAAGGCTTGTTGAATGACACAAAAAAGTCATACTTCTTGAAAGATTTTAAGTGGGACTGAAAGAGGCATTTGACATTATTGCACATTACCATTTAAATTAGATTTTCTTATCAGAATCTTTTTTTTGCTTTTTCGGAAGATCTAAAAATGATATCTTATTTGTTGGTAAGGCTTTGGAAAAATATGATAGTATCTCGAATTGAAAACCTTGAGAAGCATTTATATAAAATTGCGGTGTATCGAATTTACTCTAAGATTTACTAAAATAATCTTTTAAATTTAACGTTGGTGATATAATTCTAACATGTAAGATAACAACAATAACCAGTTAGCTTATATATTCCTTTGAAATTGGGTTATATATATTTCTAAAAACGAGCAGACAAGTTTTACAACGTTTAATATCAGTCAAACATAATCGATGTAGATTCTGGTATAATTGCGCATTGGTCCAATTTATCAAACCAAATTAGCATAGTGAGATGAAATTAACAAGATGGACAGCAAAGGATATCCTAGGAAAATCTTAGTAGGGGGGCCTATACTCCACGAGGGGTAACAGGCGTAAGTAAGTAAGTAATAGCAAAGAGACAGAAATGTGACAGTGATGGTAATGTGAAAGACTGAACATTGAGAATATAGTGCAAAAAATAATGAAAAAGTAGGCGGGAAAGAATAGTATTGCTAAGGATGTAGAGTGAGATAAAGAGAGAATACATTTATGACATCCTTTTCAAGTATCTTAAGAAGCAGTTTCTTTCTACGATATGGGTGACAAGAAAGTGGCAACTGTTCTCATATCTCTAACAGCACTCTTTAATGTCTATGTTACTATAAAGATGTTAGGAAAATACATACACATATAACACAATTTTTAAACATACCACAAAGAAAGAATTTCCATCTTTCACAGGATCATTAGCGTACACTTCTAGACCATATTCTCCAGCTTCTGGTAAGAAAATAGCAAATACAGCTTCTGAATTCCCATTTATACTTCGTTGTAGTAAACTTTTTGAAAGAGCATTTTCAGCAACTAATGTACATTTGAGTTTAGCCATTAAACGTGGCGGTGGACAACCTGGTAATGAGCCTAAACCAAAACGTATTTCCAAAGTACCACGTACAGCACGTAATGTACAATCAACACGTTGAGCTGTTATTCGATAATTTTTAGCCAACTATCAGTATTATAAAGTAGACGAAGTGAAATGTAAAGAGAAAAACATTTAATACAATTGATTCCGTTTATAAATGTCAATAAAGATTAAGATATGAATTTAATGTATTCTGATGCTTTTTCTTCAACTATATACAAGTTCATAAGTTCAATTATTTGGAATAATTCTAACAGATAAATTCCCCATCAATAAAGAATCATTTATTTGGAGCATATTATCAAGAGTCTAAGCATTTGAAGACAAAATAGTCTTTACAATTCGATTGCAAGCCACTTGTTAGATGAAAGATACAATGAATTCACCCAAAATGATCTCTAAATAATCTTACTCTGCCTTATTTCAAATAGTTAGAAATCATTCGTAATAAGAAGACCTGAGATCATTGTGTTGAAAAAAAATTAGTAATTAACCTACATCTACTTTAGAAACAGAAGTAAAACCGAACATGTTGACTATTTTTCTCATTTGAGTTCTATAATCACGGTTTATTAAGCTTAACGCCTATTATGATTCTAAATCTCTATTATTTATTACGTTACGTGTGTTAGAAAAAAATTATTTCCAATATTCTAAAACTGAAATGCGTTTATTAACAAAAAGGAGACCATGTTAAAACTTTAATTCTACACTGCATTTATATTTCAAACAACTTATCATTTATTGATGAACAACTTGGTTTCTTCAAATCTCAAGTTATGCTAGCAATTTAAGATTATATAATTAAACTTAACAACTTATATTTGTAGTCGAAGAGAAATAAACCAAACATCACTATGAAATCACTATATTCTGCCAATAATATTGTCGTTTTCAATTTATTTTAAATAAATAAAAAGCCCGAAAAGAAAAACAAACAAGGAGGTGGAAACATTTCCATTTATGTTATGTCCGGAAGAAAACAGATTGCTTGATTGGCTTGTATTAGATCCCGTGTAATCGGACCGTTGTAATAAAAAGCAGTTTTGTATGATCTATTTCTGTCTCTCTCTGTAGTTTGATTAGTTCGCTTATGTCACTGGTAAAAAAGGTAACTCGTTTACTAATTCATATATCGACCAATCCATAACAAGCAGGACGTTGAGCTTCATCTAACCCAGCAGCCGATCAGAAGATGAAGATGGTAAATATATTAGTGCCCCAACGTACTCAACTCAACTATGGTTGAAAACTCATACAACAAAATACTTGAAATGTTTGATAACAGCAACACAATTAAGAAATTACAATATGTATGTCACTTAGTCATAAGTGATACATATGACAAAGATTTATGGTTAAGAACGCAAAAACACAAGTCTAAGTCTATAATAAAAAAAATTACAGACAGTAATCCTTCTTATGATAGTCCTATGAGTTAAACTTCCGCACTATTCGTCCACTTATATCAATTGTTTTGCATAATATTTGATGCATACTGGTAATAACATGGTGTCGTGAAGAACACAGGTGAAGACAACCGAATTATATTTAGCACAAAATTAGTTACCAGGTAAAATAGAAAAACCATACTATAATACCTAATTTGCAAAATGTCAAATAATTGTCTCGGATTTCATTGTTTTTGCATTTCTATACTAATTGCTTTCTATTCCTGTTCTTCCTTTCGTGATCTTCCCAATCTTCTGCTGCCAGACATTACATTTCTGGCTCGCGTCATATACTACTTATATCAATATAAGTAGTACGCACCACACTCGTCCCTCCTTTTAATAAGATGTCTTCGTAGTGTTTCTGATTGCCGTACAGCTGTCTTCTTTGGTGCTGTTCGTGAGTCACACTCATAATGATCTTGAAAACATCTCTGCAATTGACTGGCATTGACGCGCTTCTGATTGTCTTCTCTCCGGATCGTGTAAACCGAGCCACGTCTCTCCGTGATAACGTACGGTCCTTCCCACTTTGGGATTAGCTTTCCCGACCCTGCTCCCCCTGCTGTTACTTTTTCATTCTCTACACTTTACTAGGTCCCCCACTGCAAAGGTTTCCACGTTCTCCTCTGTTGTTCCGCCTTCTTTATGTCTGATATTTGTTTCTTTTCCATGTTCCTTAGTACCTCCCTCCTCTCTTTTCTTAACCTTGTTGTCGTCCACTTCTATTGTTGTGGCCAGGTCTTACTATGCATTGGAAGTCGTGGCTGTCTGCCATACATGAGCAAGAAAGGTGACTTTTTGGTTGTTCCTTGTATGGAGGAGCGATGCGCCAGCAAAATCAATGGTAACTCTTTCTCCCAATTTCCTCCTTTAGATGCTAACCATTCCTTTAACGTCCGGTTGTTTCTCTCTGTAAGCCCGTTTGTCTGAGGATGATACGGTGTAATTCGTATTCTCTTGATGCCAAGCTGCTTTAGACGGGCTTTAAACTCACCACTTTCAAAACAGGGACCCTGGTCAGTTAATATCATCTTCGGTATTCCGTGACACGCTACAATATGCCGGATTACTACTTCGGTCACTGTTTTTGCCCGCTGGTCTGCAATGGGTACGGCATCTACCCAACGTGTAGCATGTTCCGTCATCACTAGCAGGTACTGGTTACCGCTCGCCGTCTGTGAAAACGGTCCCATCACATCCACCGACCATAGATCACTGACTGCGGTTACTGGGATTGACTGTAATGGCGGTTGTGTGTATCGATCGCTTTTCATTAGTTGACACTTCTGGCAAGTTAACACGTATTCAGCCACATCGTCTCTCATGCCCGGCCAGTATGCACTTTGTCGTAGTAAATCCGTCGTTCTTGCAATGCCTGTATGTGCTACCTGGTGACACTCGTGTATCATTTTATGCCGCTAGCCTTTCGGGATCACAGCCACCTAATTCTCGTCATCGTCCTGCCAGGTCAGGACTCCACATGCGTTCACTCTCAGTCGTTCCTTTTACCGAAGCAGCATTATTACCTCCTTGTCCATTGTTCGTTTGTCGACGTCTGCTCCCTCTCTTATCACTCTGATTATCTCTCGAAGGTTAGGGTCAGCTTTCTGCTGCCGGACGAGTTCTAATGGGTCTCCCTATAAAATATTCACCGCGTATGCTGCCAATTGAAGTTCGGCTTCCACGTCTGGTCTTGACAAGTAATCCGCCATTACGTTTTCCTTTCCTGGAATATGGCCGATACAGAAGTCGTACTCTTGAAGACGTATCATCCATCGCGCCAACTTCTCTCGGGGGTCTCTTGCTGTTTTCAACCACTGCAGGGGTTTATGGTCAGTCTCAATGTGAAATCATCTACCTAAAAGGTACGGGCTCCATTTGCCTACTGCCCACACGACTGCTAAACACTCCTTTTCGATCGTTGAATACTTCTGTTCGGCAAGTGTGAGAACGCGACTCGCGTCAGACTGACTCAAGACAGCACCTATACCATGCTCACTTGTGTCTGTGGCCACTGTAAACGGTTTCTCGGGTTCAGGCTGTCTGAGCGTCATCCGACGATCGTCTAGCATGTTTTTGATTTGGTTGAGCGTTTGTTCGGCAGTTTCAGTCCACGTAAACTTAGTATTGCTCAACAACTTATATAGGGGTGCTGCTATTTCGTTGAAATTCTTGACAAACCGACTGTAAAACACCACCCTTCCCAGAAACTGTCTCAAATTCCTCTTCGAATTAGGTACTGAAATATTCCTTATAGTAAGAATTTTTCCGGCAATGTTCCAACAACGTGACGCTAGTTTTCGCTATCTGCGACTTATTCTTATTAATACGAAGTCCAAATTCGTCAAATCGCTTTAAGACTGCTTCCACATGCTTGACATGATCTCCTTCTGTCTGACTGTATATAACTACATCGTCGCCATATACCTCGACGTTGTCTAGATATCTTCGAGCAGTAGCGTCATTAATCTTCTGAACGTACACGGTGCACCCGCCAACCCGAACGGCATTCGTTTAAATTGATACTGTTTATCATGTACAGTAAATGCTGTCTTGTTTCGGTCGCTATCTTTTATAGGCAGTTGCCAATAACCTGACCGTAAATCCAGCACTGTAAACACCGTAGCATTCTGTAGCCGATCTAATGTTTCCACCACTGTTGGCATTGGACAAGGTTTCAGGTCTGTTATATTATTCAGTTCTCGGAAGACGACACAAAATCTATACTTTCCATTCGGTTTCTTTACCAAGAGTACCGGCGAGCTATACGAGCCAATGACAAAACATATTCAGTGTTCACAAGTTAATACTTCACATGTTTAATCTGTATCTTTGGATATTTGAAATTTTGTGCCTGGGTACGTTTAAAACTTTTAATGTAAAAAGTAGAAAAAACTATCCCGATATCTGGCAAAAACATTAGATAATAGTCAAACATTTTCTATGAGAACTTATTTACCAATGAAAAATACTAATCTTATTAAAAAAAACCCAACTGCTCAAGTCTTGAAAAGCTATAGAATCCAAAGCGATTATGATGGAATATGATAAAGTGAATAAATATACCATATATCGATGAATTAGATTAGTCGAAATCGTCTGTTAACAAACTTTTCAGAATGTAGAGATAGAACTCCAAGATTTAGAAAATCTAAGTGTTCTAACACCATTTATTTATTTAAACACATAAACATTGGTACAAGGAGGCACCCAATAGATATGCGCCGTATAAATCATTCGATTTGTGTGGGGGCTGGGATACTGTTCGGGTGCCCAAACCAAAGCAGGTGGTTTTCTTAGGGGGCCACATCCCGAGCCTTTGACCTGAAGATCTGATCTACAAGGCAGTGGAGAATCGTAAGGAGATGCATTTCCATGGTAGCCGGTAACCAACAATAGGTCCATACGCTATTTGTTCCTTCAGGATACTGGAGCCATATGCACCATTGGTTTGGAATCAGGGGCTTCTACCTCCCCTAGGTGGACTCTCCGTGGCAATTGTTAACCTGAACAACCCCCCATAATTGTTATCAAAAAGCCAAATGGTACACCATGCATCTGTGTAGATATCTCAAAAATGGATTAAATGCTGCTTTAGAGCATTATTCAACTTAAGACATATCGTTTGTAATCGTAGTTTACTTGTACAGACGAAACTACTTACAATAGCTTTCTGAGTTTAAGACGTGGGACATGGATATCTAGGTATCTATGATCTTTGTTGTACAAATATTACTCAAGTTTTACAGGTCTATGGAAAATGAAAACAAACATTAAAAGTGAGGGGATAATTTATGAAACGAACATGGTTAGTTATACTTTTAGTGATGATGATTAGTAGTGATGCAATTCAAGTGTATGTGCAATAATGAAAAACTATATTTTAAATTATTCAAACCATCAACATCAACAAATCCAGGAAATAAAATTTTTCAAATCTTATACTTAATCATTTCATATATATATATATATATATATATATATATATATATATATATAGGGTTTGTGGAGATTGTAAAATTTTTAGTTTAAATCACGAACCATCAATGAAAACCTGGAGGCACTGGATGGTCTTTTCTACCTGGATGAAGGTGGATTGGTTAGACGTCAACATTGTTGGATCCGACTCAAGGGTGCGAATTTCAGGCGTTCGCACTAGAAACCGGAGACCTTGGGTTTGATTTCAGCGTGCAGGGTCATAGGTGTGCACTGTTGATGCTTCTATAGCAGAACCAAAGGGGCGTTGAGTGCTTCCAGGTTTTCAATATCAGTCTAGCTATAATCAGTTCGAGATATATATGTACAATAACCTCTCAATCATATTGAATTAAAATCTTCCACTTCATTGCCATACCTCATTCGGTCCGTAGCTTGATGATTGGCATGGTGGAAACGGCGGCAATGAACAGTTTGAACCAAAATTCGCTACTAACCGATACTCACAAACAGCACCAAACAAATTTTCAGAACTTAAGTCATCAGGGATCATACTGACTATACCGAGACCTTCTTTTTGTCCATTTTGATGTGGTTGATGTTGTTTAGCATAGATAAGTAATTTATATGCTCCAGGTCTTGGTGGTCTAATGTAGAAAACTGATGTATGCTCTCGTATCAATGTTTCTTGTCTACCGAATCGACTGAAATTAAAAAGTAAAAAAAATCAAACCTTAGTTGAAAATATTATATGTATGGATATTTTAGAAAGACGGCGACTATTTCGTTTTCTTTAAAAATGAGCACTAATAAAGTGAACTTTTTAATGTTTGATGGTGTAAGAGCACGTTGGGAAAAACAGAAGGCCGTCTATTCAAGATATAGCATCAAGTTATGAAGTCACTGACTGTTGGAGTGAATCGTGTTGATATGTGCAGACTGCCAAGTTGGAGTCTAGAAGATTTTTGTAACCAGTGGTTGGAGACATTGAGTGATATGGTTCATAATTGATCACAGTGATACAGATGCATTCATTCTTTGCCGTCTCTTAGATCTTGAGCTTTAAAATCATCTCATATTTTTCTAATCTGCGGATTCATTCTTATAAAACCATATTGTCCATGCCTAATATTTTGTACTATCATTGATGATCTTACAAATTCATAGGTTACATAAGTCAGATCCTAAAGGTGTAACTAGTGTAGTAGAAAATATTTTAATGGTTAGACAGAAATATTGCAACTATTCATTAATTTAATAGAAATCGTTAAATAAAACACATAATATGACTTCACAATAAGTTCGGGTTTATTTATTTGGCTTTGATTTACAAATTTCATGTGCAAGGAAGATACACTACTGACTTGTGCAAACTGAATTGAAGTGGGGTGTGAACCTGTGATCCGTTTAATCGAAAGATCAGTACTGACCAACCACTTTACCTGGTTTTCGAATATTACAACTGTGATTGATGGATTTAATTCATGCTTTTCAATCCGAATTGTATAAACTATTATTCAATCTTTGTTGCTGTGTTGATTAACTCCATTTTTACAATGATTTTTCGCTTTTAGTTAGAAAGAAAGATTTTTTTCAAAGGATAAACCGTACATAACAATCCTGAGGAAGTTAAATAATAATGTAATTTTGACGGGTCTAATAACAAAGAGTTAGTATTATGGTTTAGCATTTAGGGTTACACCAAATCAATCGGATTCAGGGTAGTACCTCTTGGAATTTTGTCTGAAACTCTGCCATAATTGAAGATATTACGAGTTCGCCTAATCTCAGAACGGAAGGAAGACTTTGTGACAAAGTGATCGATAGCTAGCTATTCCGATGAGTCCCAGCCCCGCTAACTAGATGAAGAAGTCCACGCTCGGAAGAGGGAAATATATTCCACAAGCAGCCAGAAGCACGAACAACAACAACAAGCACAAATCAGGCGTATATATACAACATAAAAATGTGCTTGTGAAGCTTTACAAAACAGCATACTAAAAGATACAACGAACCAATAGCGTTTAGGATACTCCCAAGTGGGAAAGACGACATGAAGGTGAAAATGAGCGCTTTTGGCGCGAAAACAAGAAATTCAAATTTTCAAAATAGAATTACAAAAATAAGGTATTTACCAAGTGAGTTTTGGGGATCTAGCAACCCCAGCATCGATATGAGTATAAAATATTCTTGAATCATAGCTGATATCAGTTCGTGATAAAAACACACACCAACTCTGAATCCTGACTCTAAACCCTAGTCCCAGCATTATTAAATAATTCAGTCATATTTGTAGTTCTCTGATTGGCTTAGACTCGTGCTTATAGTTTAGAGTTTGTCAAAAGCAACTCGCTTAAAAATACCGGAAGAAAATAGAACAATAAATATAAAATGGCTCAACTAGAAGAGGATACGAAATAAATCCAGGTCTAGATAATAAACGAAACAGTAAGAACAAATGCTTACGTCAAAGGAATTCCACGAAACTCCTCACTTCCTTCTTGATTATCAAATGATAAGCCAAATGTAAATGATAAATCATTTTTAGAATCCGATGGAAAAGCTATGACAATACGAACTTCTGGATCTGAGCATACAATCACAGAATTACGATGTGTAACTAGATCCAAATTGTATTTGAAAAAAGCAGATTTGACTGGAGCTAAATTCTCGAATTCCTAGAGGTTAAATTTTGAAAGTATAAAAGGTAATACAGCACAAAATTTTGAAAATAATTTGCATTAAGCTATTAAAATATTGACAGAAAAACATTTCACCTAAAATTGTTTAAGTAATTAGGAATTGTCAATCGAGATAACATATTACAGTCTTGATGGAGCGTTGTTTACTTGACACACATGAGTTACAAACTTAGAACACTAATTTGGTTAGCGAATGATGCTAATTAGTAAATATTAAAAGTAGGGTTAAATAAAAACTTAAACTGTCCGACAAAATTGTAGATTGATGAGAAGAAATATATTGAATTTAGTGTACATATAGTGTATCATTATATGCAAATGTTAGTGAGCTATTTTATGAATACTAAAGTAATTTATCAGAGAAAAATATACAAAAAGTAATAGAGTGGTGCATGCTACTTATGTGGACACATATTAGTAGTATGCAGCACGAATGGAAAGTGGAATGCCTGCCAGCACAAAATTGATAAGATTGAATTGATGAGAACAGAAAGAGAAACAGAGAGCGATTGCGACGACAACAGAATTGAAGGAATCATGCAGCATGTAAAGGACAATTGGAGGAAGATTTGCAAATAATGTATGGTTCTCATAATTTACGAGGGCACTCTGTTATACTGCATTAAACAATAAATAGGTTTTCCCCATGAGTTCTCGTTCACTAAAATAATATAATGAATAAGAGTTTAGAAACATTCTCGTATGGTGTAAGTTTTACAGAGGTAGATAAATGTGTATGATTGCAACAGTGTATTGATTTTGTTTTTAAAACACACAAGTTGACCAGATATAATTTACGACTAAGAAACTACTATTTTCATATATATATACCAAGGACTTTACATGTTCTGACCATATAATTTCAAGAACGAATAAACATGTATAGCAAACTATTCTAGTCTGTTAAATTAGACAGTAACAACAGTAAAAGTTATTTGTTTATAAGAATATAAAATATCGGTAAGACTATAATTTATGGACGAACCAATGAAATTTAAAGATAGCAAGTTTAGGATTTTGGCAAGAAATACATTCATAATAATGGTTAAATAATATTTTGACATTATAGCTAATGTCAGTTCGGGATAAACCCTTTACTCTAATCCTTAAACCTAACTTATAACTCTAAATCCTAATCTTGATTTCTCATACTAGTTTCTAACCGTTTTGGACTCCAGTGAGTTGTCTCAAGGTCACTTTAGAGCCGCTCAAAGGTCATCCATGAATCATGGTCTCACCACAATACCATAAAAGTAAGTATTGTACATCATATATTTAATTTCTTTAAAAACAAACATGGAGAGATAATCTGAATGAGACAGTAAAGAATTTAAACTTTAAATAGTATATATATAACTGAGTTTATAACTTTAGCTGCCGAGTTGCAATTACAAAATGAAATGAGTACAGATGAGGAGTGTAGAAATATACACAGAGGAGTATGACTAGATTTTATTTCTATGATTTGAGAGGATTCAAGATTACGAAAAGAATGAAACTATAAGAAGATTAAAATATTTTCGATGTTGTTGAGTCCAATAAGTTGGATGGTTTAATTATGGAGTTTTCATTGGTGTTCTAGTTAGCAGCAATAATATTAGTGCTTACATCATGAAGAAGTGAGCGTCTTAGTTCTTCCACAAGCATTTAATCAATTTGTTCTGCTGGCCATGTATGTGATTGGCTGTCTTCATAGATGTAACTATCTTCATTTGCCATATTCAATTCAAATTGACTGTAGTGTCCCGTTAACGCTTGATCATGTGCTTAATTGGCCTTTTTCAAGCAGGTTGATAGATCTGACATTCTTTAATTTTTTTCGACACTTAAACACTAGAATTCATATCCTTTGTTATATACGTGTATTGATATTAGTGATAATATAACGTATCATTTCACTGACAGTGGCTTAGTTATAGATAATAGTAGAATAAAAATGTAAATCTGTGGTATACCACCGGTGATACAATAGTGAGTCAAAATAACTTTCGGTTTAATGATGAAATTATAGAATTGAATGATGGAATGAATGTAGGTATGAAAGAACAAATATAGTTAGGGATTTCCTGAATTTGGAGATGCAAGAATTTCCGAGAAAAAAACCCATCTAATTTGACAGTTAATAAGACCATCAACCAAAATCAACGATCAAATATGATACAGAAGTCACATAATCTGCTTGAAAACTACTTCGAATCTCATTCTTTATCTCTATGTAAGGACGTGATGCAAAATATGCAACAGTATATGATTAAATTGATCACATTTTTGTCAGAAATGGTAGGGCATCTCTGTTTTGAGCAATATACCGAAACCCGTTCGATAAATAGCATACATGAAATAAAAAATGTAAAGATTTTGTCATATTTTAGTACACTTAGAAAAATACTGAACATCAGTCATCAAAAGACCAACAACCTACTTTTAGTGAAACTGGATGACGTAATAACTGCCAGTCGGGGTCATGTGGGAAATGAGTGTAAATCAACTGACTTGGACTAGCTAAGAAATAAAACATATCCAATCCATAGCGTACGTTGTCTGGACTAGGACGTTTACCAATTAAACGACGTGCAGCCCAGTGACAATCAATCAAACGCCAACACTTATCAATAAGCACAGCATTCCATGAATGTTGACCTTGGCGACCGGAAAAATGCATACCAGGGGCATATTCAGCACCTTTGGCATAACCAATTAACAGTTTACAATGTAAACCAGCATAACTGTTTAAGGAGAGAAAAAACGAACATTAAAAAAAGTATTAAAGTCTGAAAAACTTTTGGAGTTCGACTCCATGTGTGTATGGATTGTTGCGGAGTTTCAGAACTTACATAAAAGTTATTTACAATAGATGGGTTGTGACAAGAAGTATAATTCGAAACGTACGTTAACGTTTAGTCAGGACTCGACAGCCGGAGGCATCTATCTCCCGGTGGTGATGTTCAATTGAGTCGAGTAACGTTTACTTCAAACGCCTAACGTATTCACTAGTAAACTACTGAGTTAAGATAGCCATTAACATATTTGACGGATATTATGTCTGTAAAGTAATCAGTAAATGTATGAGTTGACCGGTTGTTGATATTCAGAACTGAGTTTCAATCAGTTTTGATTAACAAATAAGCATCTTGTGTTGTCAAAAGTAGTTTAAATAAAATATATTTGTTTAATGGTTCACCAGCTGATGTCTACTTGTGAACGTTTACATGAAGATACTCTTTTTAATCGTCGTTGAAAGTATGCAACTGATGATTCTCATATAAGATAAGTCGGATTCCATAATTTTGAGCTATCGCCCAGAGAATAGGCACGCCTTGTTGACGAGTGTCAAACAACACGGAAATTAGGTCGAGGAGGGTTTACTGTCAGCAAACATCAACGATCACCTTACATCCCTGAACAGTCTACACGACGTTGAGTCGCTTAGACTTGTGATCACATAGCAACTTGCTGATCGACAGAATTCAGTCAGTCTTTAAGGACTAGACGAATACAGCATTGGTTACGACTAAGTGGTCAATTAATTGTATGTAAAAAATATCTGTTGATGACAAGTTTCCTTTCCCCAAAATGTTAGTTACAAAAACGAAAGAACTATGCAAGAAAATTTCAGGGGTAAAATAAATTATTCAAAACCTGATCATAATCATCACCATAAATATTCACGGCAATGGTAACAATGATAATATTTTAGCGAATTGATACGGAAAACAAAACAGGTTTGAAATTATGCCAGGATAAGTAAGAAATTTCATGTGTATACATATACACCAAAACAATAGTTAGTTGTAATTTAGTTTAAAGTGAAGAATATAGAAAACGTAAAAAGATTAACAAATATAGAAAGATATTGATTAGAGATGAAGCAAAAGAAATTGGTTGAAAATGTACAGAAAATAGATATAATTCGGTTAGTTCATAACATTGTAACACTAAAAATTCCAGCTTCGTAATCATTATTAGGTATGCAATAGTATATATATATATATATATATATATATATATATATAGTGGGAATATTCGTAGCTTAGTTGGGGTAACGTTGAAATTTTATCTCGTGGAAGTTCCAAGTCTTCCAGAGGAGTTCGTGTGGTGTGGTGCGCGCTACTTATATGGACAGATATTAGCGTGTAACGGGAATCGGAAATGGAACACTTACCAGCAGAAGATTTAAATGAAGAGAAGAGAAAGGAAAACAGAAAGCAATAAGAACAACGACAGAATTAAAAGAATAATGGGGTATGTAAAGGACAACTCAAGGAAAATGTGCAAATGACGTATTTAACGTACGATTTTGATATTTTACAAAAGCACTGTGAGATTTTGCATAACAAAACAAATTGGTTCAGAGTACCAGAATAAACAAATACATCGATAAAGACTTAATTCATTAATCCATATAGGAGAGATCAACCAGTTAAAAGGTCAGAGGTCAACCAACAAAGACAGGCGTGATAAATACAAAGGGAAACGGAGACAACAAACCCTACGAAGACAATCAGTCACAGACAAGGTAATCGGAGTGAAGTGATATAAAACTTTCAGGAATAATTAGAAATCTCACTTCTACATGTATTACATGATGAAGATGTTGTCCATAATGACGATGAAAGCTCCACAATTAAACTATCTAGCTAAAGGCGAAGTCAATATCACCTAATGGTATTTGCAATAATATTAATGCTATTTGTAAGGAAAGCATACTTTTGTGCAGATTATTTCAAATTTGAAATACTATAGGTAGATATTGTGTAATGATTCGAAGCTCATACAGTAATACAGAGTCAAATCTTAACCATATATATTAATATAATTAAGAAGTCCCAATAACGGTATAAGTACGCCATAAGTGGGAGAGAACTAAGAAATAAGTTAGTAATAAATTAACGATAGTTTACGAAAGATACAACGCACAAGAACACTGTAAGCAAGCAGGAGAATACAAAAATCCAACAATCTAAGTATTGAATAATTAAAGAACAAACATAACGACCTCAAGTAGGATGGCTTCGAAAGTTCAGATTTTCCGATATTCATCCCTGTTATACGTCTTAAACCCATTCTTCATGCATTTCAAACAATCATCATCTTCATTATCGTCAGCAGTATGACTACATTGGTGGATGTACTAGTACTTTTCAGTGCAACAACAAATCTCTAAAATCAGATGTAGACTAAAACTCCACATTGTATCAATCAATGCCAAGACGCGTACACAAACTACACGCGTGCTTAATAGCTTTCAGATGATTAACATCTTTAAACATATAAAAAAGATGACTTACCGACATAAGGTATAAAATATTTGTGCATATGTCGATTTACCAGTACGTATACCCATCAAGATTTCTTCTGGACTATCTGGTTTCACATGGTCAAAATTCATTTTATGTAGATCTTTAGTGCACAACCATAAGAAGATAACACGGACTTTTTCCAATTCATCAGTAATATTACGTGCATAAATTAGTTGCCAAATTAACTGATTAAAATTATCTTGTTGTTGTTGTGATACAGAGACAGCATGTTCATCAATTCTTCGAAAGATCTGTTAGATATTGAATGATAAAAGTGTAAGAAACACAAGCGCTTAACTAAGTTATGCGCTTAACAATAACATATGATAAATTTAGTCTGTAAACATTTTTATTTTGGTATGGATAAACGTTTTCTTCGTTTAATCTTCCAAAGATTAGTTTTTTATCATGAAAATTTCTCATCAATATTAGAGTATAGAAAACATATAGTTTGGTTTTTATTGAAGATCTTGGGAAACTGTAGTCTTTAGAATACCTTGAATGACAATAGAAGTGTTTTCTTATGAGTTCCTCAACTCCATCAAACGCGAAATTTGCCTCAGAACTGATTTAAGTCAATATTAATTTTACAAGAGGTAGTGAAGAAATTAGGTGTGTTAAACAATTTTTACTTACCTTAGTTACTTCGGTAAATATATGGCGAAATTTCGGCATGGGTCAGTGTACGCCATCTGTGTTGAAGGTGATATACTTATTTACCAATTAAATAGGTGATAAATTGTCATTGTAGAAGAAAGTTTTGCGTGACAGGTATTTGACCGGAAATGTGTTTAAGATAACGTTCACACATATTGGAGATATCAAGTATGTAATGGTGATGTTGGAAGACGAGTACTAGGTAAGAATGTTAACTCGATTACCGAGGTCAAACACTTTCATCCAGTAAGATGGCTAAACCATTTTATACGCAGTCATATAATTAACTCCTACTACGATTTACAGCACCAGCCAGACAAGTTGAGAAAAGGCAAAAAGTGATCGGACTAAGATTCTGAACTGCTAGTATGGGTTATATTGGGAAGCCTAATCCCAACTCGCGAATTGTTTGCAATTTATGACTGATATTGCCAGAGGTCGAGATTGGATGCAATGATATGGGTGCATTCAGTCAAATTAGAAGCTTTAAATACAAAGATTTTTAAACAGTCAGTATCATGTGGTAACAGTGAATGGTAGGAAATTAAGACTAAAGGTGGTGGTCTGAGGTAATCGAAATGAAACCCTGGACGTGAGTTTCGTGCTATTTTACGCGTGGCTATAATCATGAGGGAACTGATGCTCCCTGGCAGATTCAAAACTGTTTCACCCATCTTCACAATCGAAGATGTTACCATTGAGCTATCCAAGTCGCGATTTAGCTCCAGTAAGGCTGAGATGTATATGCCATTGATTGGTCACTTGGTAGTGGCTAGTTACATGTATGCCACGTCATTCTTAGTGTAGATCAAGTTCTATCGATCTAGTTGCAATGTAGCCACTAGTCTAGGTGGTTCAACCTCGCGTGCAATGTGTTGAGATGTAAGATGGTGGTTGGAGATAATCGAGAGGAAACCCTAAACCTAGATTTCGTGCTATTTGATTGTGAAACTGAGTGATACGGGATTGGATCCGCCAGGGGGCATCAGTCTACCCAAGATTACAGGTATATCTTGCTGACGAATGTCAAATAGCACAAAACGTACGTCAAAGGGTTTCCTGTTGATTACCTCCAACCGTCACGTTATGCCTGAACATAGTGCATACGATGTCGAATCACCTAGACTAGTGGCTGCATTGCAAATTGATAGACAGAATTCAATCTGCACTAAATAGGACCCGACACACAAGATATTAGTCACTAACCAGTGATTAAGTGATCGTAACTAAGATTGAAATATTTTGTATAATAGTGCTAATCTTTAAATATACACCCCTTAACTGATTTTTCAATAGAACACAAATATAAATTGTCAGAACGATGATCATAATTGATATTAAATTTAAGGAACCTATATACCCATTATTATATTGCTAAGCTAATCTCAAACTATATACATCATTTTAGGAAAATTCTATCAATAAACAATAGTGTTCGTTTGGAAGCCTTGGTAACTTTACTCCAAGTTGTATTGTAATGTACGAACAGGCCAAGTCCAGATTGAATATATACATAACTATTTAGAGGGAACAAAAATCGTTTATGAAGTATACACATTTAGTCCTCAGTCTTCCATTCGCATCTATTTTGTGTTCCCCGATCTAAGCCGGTTGTAGACTGCTTTCCCTAGCTTCTCTTCTGGTCTCACAAATATTCCAAATTCATTGTGCTTTCGGCTTCCTGACTCCCGTCTTTGGTTATCGACTACAGCAACTGGGATGCGACGCTCCGCTGTATACTACTTATCAGCAATCTTGTGAGGAGCGTCTAACACAATACTACTATAGTAGTCTTTGCTATCAATCTGGTTGGATGTTTTTGCCTTTGGCTTGCAGTCCCAAAGTCATAGTTGTTGCTACATGAAGGGAATCGTATCACAAATTTAACTTGTATTGGGAATATTAAAGGTTTCCTCGAAATCCCGTTTTCTCTCTCACTTGTTCGTGTTATGACTGCATTTTGGTATATTAGTTATTCAATCTAGCTGGTTTGAGTATACTCTATTTCCTATCAGAAAAGTATCACAATTATTCGTAGTTCAGAATAACCGTAAGTTACCTCATTATAGCATATGTATGGAATCTTGATTACTAGATGTAAATATGTTTAACAAATTAATATAAAACCTTAACGAGATTTTCCGATGGTGTACAGGAACTCAATATGAGAGGACTTCAATGATCATTTCATTTTTATAAAGCTTTGAACTATATAGCAGGTTGAGCTATTTTCCAAAGTAAAACTTTAATAGATTACCGAATGAAAAAGTAAGGGGTATTAACAAGTTATTCAAACAATACTAACATATTGTCTTCAGAAGTCATTTGTTGAAACATCTAACATGATAGTGTGTCCAGATCCCACAGCACTATGGGTGTGAAACAAAACAGTTGCGACATTTATTCCATGCAGAATAGGTGTCGCACAAGTCCAATATATAAGTATCTGGACATGATTGCTAATTTAAATAGGTCACTAGAAGAAATAAATAAATTTTAGACTTGGATATTTAATCACACCACATATTCAGTTTGTAATAAAAGTGTCAAGCACCATCAACTTACGTCAAATGATTGATAAGGAGTAGATGACATTTCAGTAGTTGTCGGAATTTCTTGTGGTTTTGGTTTGTCTTCCAATGTATCCATTGACAAAGGACTTGGGGCAAATTCTTTTGGAGGAACTCGTTGTATCGGCCCAGAACTCCAATTAGCTGTACTTTGATCAAATTTGTAAAACTGATTAGTTGATGATGATGCTGGTTGATTACTTCGACCAAGACCTCCAGTTGTAGATGTGACTTGATCATACTGTTGTTTGTTATAATAAGGTAGACTACTGGAATTTGATGAACCAGGAGGTGATACATAGCACATGTTTGCTAGAGAAACCAAAATTAAATGCTTATAAAGATGACTACAGTCTTAATATTTTAAGCACTCAACATACTGTGAATACATTTTACATGTTACATTTGAAAACAATGTATATTCACGAAAAAAGTACAGAATGGACGCCATTTTACAGATATAATCAAGTTGATAAAATTTTCGAAATAATAATAATAAATTTCCATTTAAACTTTCTGGAAAAACGTGATTTCTTGATTAATTTAAGGGAATCATTTTGGACAAAACTGGTAATCATGTGAAATAATGGAATTTATGGAGAATACAAAAAGCGAAATGATTTAATGAAACACGATTGATGATTGTATTATTTATAATAACAAGGATTTAGTTGTGATTAGTATACAAACTAATAGAATATACATAAATACCATATAGGAGGCATAAATGAAACAGGTTTTGGTATGGGAAATTCCATGTATTTGTTATACTTTCACAATATTCTCGTTAGAATGTCACGACAAAAGGGAAATACAGACAAGAATAAAGCAATAATAATTGTGAAATCATTTACTTATATTCAAATTTATAGCTGTTTGGTAAATATATAAGTCCATAGAAAGACAGAAAAGATTTCAGTATCAAGGGGAATACCCCCAAATGCCCTGGTACGGCCGAGAGTGGAGAGTCCGCTCGCCATCTCCAAATGCTCTCACATGGCTACGCGTATATATAGCCTCTGCCAGGGAAGTCCTACTTACTGCCTTCTTGTGGCATTACTGTTGTTTACGAAAGTGAAAGGACGAAAAGCGAATGTCCAGCGCTTTAACCAGGTTGGTGGACATGGAGAGTCCACTTAGGGGAGTTGGAAAACCCTCATTCAAAACCAATGGTACATATGGGCTCCAGTATCCTGAAGGAACAAATGGCGTATGAACCGGCTACCATGGGAATGCATCTCCTGACGTTGCTCTACTGCCTTGTGGATCAGAACTTCATGCCGAAGGCTCCGGGAGTGGCCCCCTAAGAAAACCACCTATTTCGGTTTGGGCACCCGGGCAGTATCACAGCCCTCACACATATCAAATGAGATCTGTGTGGGGCATATGTATTTGGTGCCTACTTGTACCAATATCTATGTGTTAAAATAAATAATCAAAGGGAATGGATTGACGGAGATCGAATCAAAAACTTATGCACTGATGAGGGGTTAGCGATTCACCAATTCAAACCTGAACTCTGCGTGCAAAAACGATACACCCAACTTATTATCCTTCCCTAGGACTAATTTCCTTCTGCAGTGTTTTTTGGTTTTGGTTTGTTTTTCTTATTATTTTGTGATTTTAAATCTTAACCAGTTATTATCATCCCGTTAACAATTATTGACCAATATAATTCGATTGTTATTATAACCCCCTAATTATTACAAAACCTCATTTGAAATTTGGAGTTTCGAATCACTTTGTGAGGTTAATTTAAATTGTATTATTACAATTATGGTTTGAATGATGTTGATTAGTGTAACTCAATAATTATTCTTCACATAGAATTTTATCAAAATGGGAGTTTGTGGGGATTGCAGTAATTTAATAGTTAAATTCATGAGTTGATTTAAGCTAGACCATCATTGAAAACCTGGAGCAGAGGACGGTCGTTTTCAGATTTTCAATGGTGCTATAGCTTACATTGACTCATGAATTCAACTATTAAAATATTGATTAATTTTAATTTATTACGTGCTCATAATTCGGTGCTTCTACTTTACAATGGACTTTATTTTGATTACAACATTTTAACAAATTTCTAAATGGAAGAAAATCAATCTTCGTCTCAGTAAAATATTATTATGAGAAATGAAGACAATATATTGATCAATAAATAAATAAAATAACAGCTAATTAGAGCCATACAAAACGTATGGATTTTGTTTCATTTATCAAATATAGATAGAAACTATAGTTTCTATGTGAAGGACAATAATCCTACTATTTAGTTATCTGAACTAAAATAGATGAAGAAACAAATAGTTGGAAATAGATAACTTTAACCACTAAATCACTAATTCTTCAAAGAGAATTTAAACAAATAGTATATATTGCCAAAATGGCTACTATGCAGGACAGTACAGTGAGATGAAATCAATACGATAAATAGAAGCATTACAAGAAAATGAAAGATGCATAATGTAAATTAATGTATTCGGCCAGGAAATTAACAGTCCCCAACAATATATATCAGTACTAATATACGGCATCTTACATGCTGTAGAAAAAGTTACATTGTCAAAAAACAGTGATGTGACTTATTATGGATTAACTAATGATCGATTTCATACATTAAACTCTTCATATTACTACTAATTTAATGAACCTTATGATAATCTAATAAGCAGTTTTACAATATCATACCATACAGATAATGCAATAAGCATTGCTGAGGAACGAAAATCCCTTGTCAGTTACTTTCAACAGTTTGATGTTATGATAACATATATACTGGGAAAGAACTCATCGCTTTATACCTAATTGAAGAAAATATCCCTTTGACTATCCCTAATCCACGCAGCCATGGACTGTGGCTTGGATAGTTCAGTAATGCATTACATAGCTATCATATATAATAGTAAGACATGCATATGTAAACTGAGGTTTTTCAATTGTAATACACAATAATTACCTAACAAATGAAGATATTAAGAAATAGAATAAATTCATTCATTCGTCCGTAAATATATATGTATAACGAAACATGAAAGGAACCAATATAAAATTGGAAAGCAAAAAAACATGACACATCATCAATGCACAAACACTGATTCTTGGGTTACAGTGATCAGATAAAGGACAGTAATTGCGAAGACTGCACTTTGAACAATATAACAAAATGGAAAAAAAGTGATGTCGAAAATTATACAACGAATTAACAATACTGAAAACAAAGCAAATCTTGTGTTAATTTGTCTTCAGTTAAAATTACACAGTAACTTTCATTACATATATACACCATGAAATATATATACCTATTATGTCCTTGGACTGTCTACCCACTTTTGGTGCTGAGGATACTTATCTAATCCAGATTAAGACCTTGGTGCGATAGGCTGACCGACCTAACCTTGAGGCTAGTGCGCGTGAGTTCGAAATGGGGTAGAGAGAAGAAAACTATTCTATCACCTGATTGACCGACAAGCACGCGAATGAGAGAAGACAAGGCAACTGGAACACTACTCAATCTATTCCTGATATCCTGATTTCAGTTCAGTTCGGATTAGTGTAAAAAGGTACATGAATAAATAAGTGAATAACCCGACCACAACGTACGACAATTAGGAAAAATACAATTATGTCCAAAGCTGGGAATTAGAGTAGAAAATAGGGTGCAAAATATTATGTTTAAATTACAATAGCTTCGGAACAAAAATAAATGTCAGTGTTTTACAAGCTTTGAATAAAATGGAATAACGTCCCGAAAAATAGCTTTCGTAGTTTGTCAGGGCTTCTCGTTTTCCTGTTCACAACATCTTCCCCCCTTGACAAAAAAAAGTTATAACTGCCGTTCAACTGAGTGCATAAATAAGTGCACCAAGTCACTAAGCAAGAGATTATTATGGAGTTACGGCAGCTACTCTCCCGTTTTGGAGTCCCAAGTATTCTTGTGTCGGACAACTGCACTCAGTTTACTTCTTCCATCTTCTCAGATTTCTGCAACAGATTTGGAGTCAAACATCTTCGTTCGCTTCCATACCATCCAAAATCGAATGATCAGGCCGAAGGGTTTGTGGATACCTTCAAAAGAGCGTTACTGAAGGCAAAAGAGGAGGGAAAGATAAAGGAAATTATTGGTGATTTTCTATTGATCTACAGAACAACTCCAAACCCATCAGCACCAAATCAAATGTCTCCAGCAGAAATTATGTTTGGTAGAAAAGTTAAAACTACTCTCGATGCTATAAAACCAGAGCAAAATGGCATAGGAAGAAGAAACCGAAAGATGGAAATCCAATTGAATTTCCATCATGGGGCGAGACGTAGAATCTTCCAAAATAATCAAAAAGTATACATGATTTCCGATACTCACCTCCGCAATGGACCAGTGGACGCATACTTAAGAGACGAGGAAATGTAATGTATGTGGTGGAATTTGAAGGACAAAAGTGGACACGTCATGTCAACCACATACTGGAAAATGCTGGAACTTCACAGAAAACCGAGAAACTGGGATCAATGTGGAAAATCTTTTCGGACAGTTTCGATATAAAAAGTTCAGCGACTCAGAAGGCTATGCAACCTGAACAAAATCCTATTAGGAGATCATTACGCGAACGTAGAAGACCAGATATTCTGCAAGTGGACCCAAAGAGAAGAACATATGTTTCTGCGGGGAGATGTCAATGATGATATCTTAGCTATTACTTGTACCTAGTGACTAACTATTTTTTCTTTTTCTTATTTATTCCAGTTTACCGAATTGGTCACGCTTTACAAGGATCACAATGTCAACCAGTCTCACTTATTTATGCACTCAGTTGAACGGCAGTTATAACTTTTTTTTGTCAAGGGGGGAAGATGTTGTGAACAGGAAAACGAGAAGCCCTGACAAACTACGAAAGCTATTTTTCGGGACGTTATTCCATTTTATTCAAAGCTTGTAAAACACTGACATTTATTTTTGTTCCGAAGCTATTGTAATTTAAACATAATATTTTGCACCCTATTTTCTACTCTAATTCCCAGCTTTGGACATAATTGTATTTTTCCTAATTGTCGTACGTTGTGGTCGGGTTATTCACTTATTTATTCATGTACCTTTTTACACTAATCCGAACTGAACTGAAATCAGGATATCAGGAATAGATTGAGTAGTGTTCCAGTTGCCTTGTCTTCTCTCATTCGCGTGCTTGTCGGTCAATCAGGTGATAGAATAGTTTTCTTCTCTCTACCCCATTTCGAACTCACGCGCACTAGCCTCAAGGTTAGGTCGGTCAGCCTATCGCACCAAGGTCTTAATCTGGATTAGATAAGTATCCTCAGCACCAAAAGTGGGTAGACAGATCATAGGACATAATAATTAGTAAGCTTGTAGTTTTATTATTGTATTAAACAATGTATGGATTACAACAATATAAAAACAATAGGAGAATTACTCCGTTTAAAAATATGATTGAAGGTAATTGTCCCTTACACTGATAAATTCGTATTTATTAGTATTCATTGGACTGAACGTGTACAATATAGGTGTACTAACACAATACACTTAAAATGTAGTACACAATGGATTACTATTGTAACTATAATCGTTTGAATACGTAGTTATACCTAAACTGAGTTGGTAAGCATAAAATTGAATGCAGTAATTGGAGTAATAACAATAATGATAATATAACCCATTTGTCAAGTACAGGTTTATCCACTCAGATCTGGATCACATTCTTTGTGTTGACTAATGAGATACTCAACATGGCTATCCAAATTGAGTTTGTTTGAAGTAGGTATATCTTAACTACTGATAAGGCATCATCAGAAGTATATACAGGGACCAGTTGTTGGTTGGAAAGAATATTCATTTAGATACTGACAAGATATGCCTACAATTGATTAACATTTAAGATGTATTTAGCAATTGGATGAGGCCAAACTTAAAATAATAACAAATACTTATAAGAAAATGCAGTAATTATATGGGTGGATATTGGAAAAGTATTGACGAGATCTTCAAACGGCATTATGGAAATGGTTGAATGCGATGGTTTACATCGCTGACTGATCTTAGTTAGACAGCCATTGAAAACTAAAAGTTCTGGAAAGTTATTTCGTCCTACTACGGGACTTCTCGATAGTGCACACCCAGTTTACCAAAGATCGAGCACAGGATCGTCAGACCTCTCGATGAGGCCTTAACCTTTAGAACATTGAGGCGGCATCTAATGGTTTACATGTCCGAATTAAATCAATTCGGAATATAGGAATGTCCAGGTTCCGTAAAAAAGTAACACTTCATTTGGCGATGACGTACATGATGAATAAAAGAAACAATAGGGAAAAGAAAGAAAAACTACAAAAAAGTTTATTAAAACTGCTCACTATTATTACTTCCATTACTACCAACATAACTAGAGGATCCAGGTTCGAAGCGAACAGAATTTTGATATTTTATTGGCGGACTAGTACTCTAAAAAGCATAATGAAAATTATACACAAGCATAATAATGACAGAGTGGATAATAAAAGAGTACACAGAAACTTACAATCAGATATTTCGTACATATTTGTCCCCTACGAGGTAAGTTAATCGGATCTACTGATTAAAATGTAGTTTTGTAGTCGAATATCATGGAAAATTAGAGAGAATTAGACCAGGATGATCAAACTTAGAAACTTCAGACCTCGGAGCGATCGCTCAACATTCTAACCATTAATGAGTGAACATTCAATAGTTTACATTTTTAACCTTATTCAATCAATTGCATAACCACTATTCATTGCCATTGATATTCATTGAGGGATTATATCAAAACGAAATTAAATTTACGATTTATTTGTTATTATTTATCTGGATCATTTTTCTATCCTTTCGTTAATTGAGATAATTATCAAGCGACCCGTGTGATTGACCTTGATTTTATTGATTACTTTTTTCTTGAAGTCGTAAGAATAATTACAATACCTGCATACAGATAATTACTCGCTTTACTAGTTTTTCTTGAAACAACATTTTCTCTTATAAATTCCCGTTTTCTCTATTATTCCTAACATGTTGTTGTCACTAGTCAAGTGTTATTGTTATGTATTGGTTGCTCTAGGTATAACGAGTCATGTTTGATCCATTCACATATTACCGCTTCAAAATACAATGAACTGTTTTGAGTTAAGTTACATGATGATAAACTGATTTTCTGAACTTACTATACAATATTGTAATATGAGCAATTAATTAGACAAAAAACTAAATAAAAGTAATTTGAAACTTATTAAAATGAGCTGAAATAAAACCTATTCTCTGTAAGGTGTAAACATCATGAACAACAAAATCGAAAAACAAAAGAAAAACACAACAATAGAATAATTGATTATGTTAACATGTATTGCATTGGTATTTTTCAAATTTGTAGTTAAAAATGAATTTGGGAACAAAATAAAGTACTTAAATTTTATTGAAATATCAATTGTAGAATATTTTTTAGAAAATCTCACATTACAGAATCAAATTGATGTGCTTTTTTTAAAGAAAAAAAAACGGTGTTCTTAGGTAATCAAAAGTAAAGACATGAAACTACAATTTTATTGCTTTGTTGGTAAGTATAGAAAAGAAGTAGATGTATTCTGTACATCGTAAACATTAGTGTGCTTGAAACAAACGTAATATGTATGGAGGTTTGAGGAAAGTATTACTAAGCTTGGTATATGTATTATGCGCTAGGAATTGCATGTCAGAAAGGAGTATCTATAGTCCTTAGATGACTACTGGTGTTTCGTATCAGATTCAAACTCATACAACCCCTGACTGTGGTATAAGATGGTGAGTTAATTCGCATAGGGAGCATCGGTTCCTTAAAGACTGCAGAAACACCTAGCTAGCAAGTGTCCACAACGATAGGAATTAGATATAAGGGCTTCCTTGTGATCTATTACAAACATCCATAGTCAAAACATAATCCATGAGATATCAAGTCACTAAAACTACTGAGCATACTTGAATTTGCTCCATAGAATTCAATTAGCATCAAAAAGTAAATGAGCATAAATTACTTATTTTCTACAAAATCATTGAAAAAGTAAGTGAAGACATTGTTGCCACAGAATTCCTATTTTTTGTATTGAAAAAGCTTTCAAGTATAGTGAAAATAATGATCATAATGGTGTATTACAAATGACAGGGGTGAAGCGGCTTAGTAGTTAGTGCGTTCAACTCTCAATCACAAAACCCCAGGTTCGAACGTTATTTAACTAACTTCGGTTAAGACAACAGGGTAGTGCCATTAGCCCTAAGACGCGTAGTATGGTTCATACCTGGTGAGTGAGTTAAATTTTAGTTATCTATTAATTGACTGATTGTTTGTTAAAATGGATAAAACTATTTCGCTGTTCATATTATAGTGATTATTAAAAAAGGACTGTGTTTCAAGCATAGATTTATTAAACATATTGATATCTATACGAAATATTGATATCAGTAAATATTATTTACCCTGTGAAAAGAATAGTAACAATTAGAAAAACAGGAACTTTTTCCCAATGATGGTAAACAACTATTCACTAAATCATAACCAAGTGATAAATGAAAGGTAGGTAACTGGTAATAAACAACAAAGGGGTCACGTCACGTGTAAAAAAAATTATTTGCACTTCACAAACTAAAAGCCAACATCTTCCTCTTCCATAGAGTATCACGTGTGTAATTTTTTTCTAGTAAACCATCTAATATACAAGTAAGCAAATAGACAGTTCATAAAAATTACAAAAACATCATTTTCAAATGAAATAAACTATGCAGCTAATTAGTCTATATGAGAGCAAAAAACACAAGAATTAAGGAGTCCCACAATAGGATGAAACGGCCGTCCAGTGCTTCCAGGTTTTCTATGGTGATCTAGCTTCAACTGATTTATGATTTCAACTAATGAGATTACTATAATCTCCATAAAACCCCTTCTGATATATATATATATATATATATATATATATATACACCATATTTAATATTCGGTAAAGCTCCACTATAAGGACGTTGAAATGACCTTGACATTATTACGTGACAAGGAGTGTCGGGTCAAATCTAGGATCTTTTGCTAAAAAAGTTATTGAAATGCTAACGGATACAGTACGTTTTTCTTATGGTTTCAGGATTTTCCACGATTTGTAACTAGACAATTTCACGTTATAAAACAAAAGAAATTTCCATACAAAAATTCATCCATTGGAGTGGATATGATATAATTTGTTTATTGTTTCATAAACAATTTAACATATCTCACAAAATCGCTTTCGTGAACTCTTACTTAAATGTCGGCAAAATAGCATTACAAGATTATAATGTCTTTAGATGACCATGTGAGAGCGCTTCGAGTGGGAGAGCTGACTCTCCCCATCCTCGTCTATACCAGGATAAGAAATAAAATTCATTCATTGACAATTAATTATCTAACCGAAAAATAAATGATACACCGTATAGTATACAACAACATAGCATGAACAATCACCGATAAATTGAACGGATGTTCATAGTAATTATAAGACATTTCAACACTTTAAAACTAACGATTATTACTGAAGAGAATATTTTTAAAAAATCTAAACATATTTGGAATATAATAACCTTCTCTGTTAATCAAGTGCCTTAAAAACGACAGTAACATGAACATTAATGAAGAGTGACTGATTTTTAATCTACGTTTAAATATGTAAGAAGTCATTGATATCATGTTCAGTGTGCATCGATAACTTGATGCGCGTTTAATAATAACAACGACTCAAAACTTCTTAAAGATAGTCACATGTTGATTTCTTATAGTTTAGTAACTGGTTTTTCCTTCTTTTTTTTTAAACAAAAGTTCATAATCCATCTATTTATATTAATTAACGAAAAGGAAACATCCACAAAAATTTTTAAAAAAAAACAACCTTAATTATTTCTAAATGTAAGATTAACAGTAATTATTATTGTTGTTACCATGAAAACTGATTTTCCATTTATCAGGATTATTTGTTTCTGAAAAATATTTTTACTGCTTAAACACAGATTGAATTACTGAACACTACTACCATGTGACCTACATGCAACTGATTAAAAGGGTAAAATTTTCAAACATACATACACAGTAGCAATAAAATAAATAAACTGGTCCATTTATCTGTATGCTTTGAATTATTTTATTAAACTGATTTGTTAATTGAAACAAAGTGTGAAATTTTAATCGATATTAATTTCCTTCTAATAATACATCACGTAATTTGGTCAGCAAATAAAAACAGTAGGAAATGGTTACGTAATACAATAACTAACTAATGACATAGTAAACTAATAAGTGAGTAATAGGTCCTCGAAACATAAACACTAGACGAAGTAAAATGGTTGGAAAAAAATGATTTAATGAGCAAGTCTGTTTATGATTAATCTTTAACATGAGAAAACAGTTCTAAATAAGAACTTTCGTCTAAATTTGAACTAATAGTTTCACAATATTTGGGCGCCGAGTTAATGTAAGTCATTAAAGAGGAAGAATATATATTTGTAAAATCTCAGTGAATGAATTTTAAGTAAATCCAACGTTTGCCAGGTGAGATTTTACAAATATATATTCTTCCTCTTTAAGAAAACAGTACTGTTTTTAAAACCTTTCGTACACTAATAAATAATAAGGAAATATTTTCTATTTAACATTTTGATTACACGTGTTTTATATGTTACTATTTAAGCAAAGCATAATTCATTACGATGTTATTTCCTAAAGCAGTAGACAATCGTATTTATAGACTATAATAAACATATGGTAGTCTATAGTCAAATAAAAAGATAGTTGCACATTATCGTGGATTGGTTGAAGTTAGACATTAACACTATTTCATACCGACTCAGTGGTACGAAGATCAAGAGTTTGTGCGGAAGATCGAAGGACCTGGATTCGAATTCCGCGTGCAGTGTTAGGGATGGGCACTCTTGAAGAGTCCAACACTAGAATGAGATGGTCATCGAGTGCTTTCAGGTTTTAAATCGTGGTCTAACATTGATAGGCTTATGATTTCAATGTAATAACTCGAAAGTTATTGGGTCATTAACAAGATCGCTAAGAATTAATCGCAAATCTTTCCAGTGTCGAACATAAGTTATATAATGATTGAGGGGTAATAACAATAATAATAGGGCGATAAAACGCAATAAGCATATATAGAAGAAAGAGAGACAGTTAGGTATGAAATATAATTGTTCATTTGAAAGTTTAAAAAGACGAGATGAACATGTATAAAAAAGCTATTGTCTCTTTAGATAAATATTGGATTCACGTAGTCTATGGATCATGAAAGTGATATATATATGGAGAAAGTTTAATAAAAATGTTCAAGGTTCAAACAGAATGAATGTCACTTTTGATTGTTTACACTATGACAATATAAAAATAGACCATAACTACACTGAAATCAGTATAAGCACAACAAATCAGTAGAGTAATTAGATAAATTGTGTTCACTTAACAAAGATTTACATCAATTTTTTAAATGTATACCTACTTCAATATTTTGCGGTATTATTATATTTAGCATAAAACTTTCTAAATCTAACATGATAAAAGGGGATTTGTAGAGATTATGGAATTTTTATAGTATTTAAAAAAGCCCACTTTAGTTAAACTATCATTTGAAAAAGCATTAAAAGGCCGTTTTGTCAAGTGAATGTGACTCCTCAACAGTTCACTTCGACGAACACCGGTACGAGAACCAAACCCAGGGTTAAGCAATATCGTAAATTGATTAATGTAAGATATTAAGACCATTTAATACCGACTCAATGGTTTAGAGATTAAGCGTTCGCGCATGATACCGAAGGTCTTGGGTTTCATTTCTGGATGAGGAGTCATGGATTCCTATTGCTCCGAAGTTTCATGCTAGGTCCGCCCAATGCTTTCATGATTTTAGTGACAATCCTAATAAAATCAATTTGCGACTTAAACTATATAACATTTATTAAGAGTTAAATTATTTCTGCATCTTTAATATTAATGACATTAAATTCAACTGAATATTATTTTATGATAAACACATTTTATACTACTAAATAGCACTAGTAAGTAAGCGTTACAAATAATGATAATCAGTGAAGATTTTTGATAGTAGATTAGCATAAAACGAAATAAAACACGACACGAATTAGTTGTTAATACAGATGGTATACTAATATCATTAACGATTGTTTAATAGAATCAGGAATCTTTCATTTAGTATCAATTATTACTCCGTGATTGAACAAGACCCAATTGAATGTAAAAAAAACCCAGGATGAATGTGACGAATATGTATATTATGTTATTGAAAGCTTCATAATAGTTTAAAATGACAATGATAATATTTGTTAGTGCTATAACTATTAATTTATTAGCATTATCATAAACTACCTGGTTATGTACAAATGATTTCCTATCTGTGGTATGTTGTCGTCTTAAGTGACTAATAGTATCACGTGAGTTTCCAAATCATGAAGATTGAAAATAAAAGATCATTCAGCTGGTTGATCTCATGTTATCAAACTTATTAAGCATAAAGCGACACTACAGTCCAGTAATCCTATCATATGGATAGTAAAGTTTAAGCAAACAATAAAAGATTTCGACAAATTACGTTTGACTTTATATCATTTATAATCATTCATAAAAGAGTATTCATTGTTTAGCTTAGCAAGACTTATTCGTTGATGGTAGAGTGACACTGGAGTAAATAAAAATAGCCAGTAATAAATTTAAGTGTAAACAGTCAGACAAACAATGGAAAAGAACGTGCACACATGCAGACATTCACACATACACTTGAATACACGTATTTTTGTAACACAGTAATAAGACATCATCATTATCATCATCACTGAAAGTATGATCGTTCAGTTATAAAAATAACTATTTTTAATTTGACTAGATGAAATGTGCATATAGAAGGGAAAAAATTCGTGTGTATTTTTACCACACCACTATATCATACAAATTTATCTATTTATATCCATGAAAACAAAAATAATCAGGAATGTAAAAAGAACTGCATTTTATTAAGATGTTATTATTCGCAAACTTACAGATGCATACTTTTGTTGTATTCCATTGCCAGTATGATTTTGTCCGACAAGAGATGATGAAGGCGAATAGACAGTTTGATTAGTACCATGATTCGTTGAATTTAGAGCTGGTGAGTCTAAAACAGAGATAAAGTTATTGTGATGTTTTTATTTCTACATAGAAATGAAAACAATAGTTCAACGATCAAGAAAACAGTCATGATAAAATAATGGTGACATTAACTGATTGTTGTTGAGAAGTCCCAAACTAGGACGAAATAGATATCAAGAGCTCTCTGAGATATGCATACAACAAATAAATTATATGATAGACTAAACTAATACAGATTACAGTCGAGAATATGTTAAATGTATGGCTGTATATATCCCTATTGTTTTATTCTTAAAAGTAATAAAACCGAAACAAAAAAGTGAAAAAAGTCATTTTGGGGTTCGTTAAATGATTGACCCACGTGTTTGAGAGTCTATAAACACTTATTTTCAAAGTCTCGAGAAGACCAGAAAACGCCAGGAAATGTTTCGTCCACTCAGCACTAAATGGAAAGTTTTCAGAGACATTTTGAAAAATGAAAGATTACATGTCACGTTTTGATTGGATAATTACCTAGGTCGTCACTATACTCAGCATATTTCCGGAAGGTTCTAGAAGATTGAGGTCACATGAAACTGTAAATACGCTCAATTTTCTGTAAATGATTAGCCTTAAGTTAAAGCTCTTACGCATATTCCACACCTTTTCTCTAATATTCGAGTTAAAGTGTATGAGTAGTTTGTAGTTATGAGGAGCGGTTAAGAAGTCAGCAATAAGCGTTTTGGTAGCAGTCCTATCATAAGGCTCATATTCATCAGATCATTTACATTGTATCATTATCTTTTAAATATTTCTATGCAGTTCTGTAATTTGGTTCCAGTAATCAGATTACACAGTCAGTTATATTACTTAGTGCCGCTCTATTGTAATATATAATTAGCTATGATTTAATCGATTGGATTTAGAGAAATATAAAGGATATACAGAACAATAATTATTATTGGTTATGGATACAAATTACCAAGACAGGTGTTGAATTATTTTATTGTTTTTTTAGTAGTAATAATAATAACTACAGCATGCGATAGGCTAGGATTATGCAATCAAACAATGAACCAATTATCTAACACAAAGACATAAATTGACTTAAACTAGAGAATCATTGGAAGCTAGGATACATCGAAACAGGTGTTTTAGCAGTTGTCTAACTAAGGATCAGTCTGTGTTTTAAACTATCCTAAAACTGGATAATCTTTAAGCATAGGTGACTGAGTGTAATTAAAATGTTTGACTTCCAGTCGCTAAGTTCCACCTGGTAAATAAGTTAAAAAATTAACAAAATGAAAAAACGATCTCTATAAGCATAACAACGCAATAATTGCTGAATATTTGTAGAATCAACGTAACGATTTCAAATTTTAATATTGTTATGCCTTGAAACACGCTGACCAAATTTGTTTTAAGTAGATGTGGTTTTCATTCAGATATACCAGACCGATTTTTATTAAATGTAAGCGACTTCTCACATAGACATATAATGCCACAATGGTGAATATTTCAGAGTTATATATATATATATATATATATATATATATATATATATCAATTTTCCATCAGTTCCATCGTAGATTTATCATCATGAGCTTATTTAATATTTGTTAATTAAAATTTGGTATATGAGTAGTTGGTGGACTGTTTGAATACCTGGGCTACTTGTCCCTGTCATCTAGATATTTCAACAAATCTGTTTTTATTTGTTTTAGCAAATCATTATGTCTAATAATTGCATAACCTATTCAGGCGCGTTTACGAAAAGTTTACAACCTTTCGCTGTGCAAGTTACAAAAAATATATAGTCAGCGGCATCGTAATAGCTGGCAATATACATTAAAAAGAATGAACCTTATTCAGATTTCTATTCTCGAAGTACTAACTTCTAACTGGCGACCACTTAATATTTATAGTCAGTATCGACCAAGAAATAAGAAAAGGAAACTTGTTGAAATACTTTGTGCTGAGAATTCTATATTGTATCAAAAATATAACATTGAATAAAGCCATTATTAATAATAATAAAGGTTGACGCTGTGCTATTTAGTTTACTAAAAGTCTAAACGATGCATAGTACTCTTATTAATCAATTTAATGTTAGATTACAGGTTAGGATAGAATATAAATGATTTTAAGTAGTAGAATTATTAGAGCGTTCAACTTTGAGACATTTACAGATTTTTCCACATACTAACCCTTACACATAACAGTGACTTGAAACAAAATATATAATCTGTACCTGGTAAACGATTTCAGCTAGTAATTCAAAATAAAATAAACTACTACGCTTTACATCATTCAAACTAACAAAATATTACATTGAGACTTCATATGATACTATAATGATTTCAATATATGGTCGTGTAATGGAGAAAACTTGCAACTTGGGTAGATGTTTTTGGCAGTATTGGGTTCCTCGAGCCAGACAATTAAACTGTAGAGCTTTCATTATCGTTCTAGACACCATTATCAGGTCTTAATTTATGTAGAAGTGAGCTTCTTGATTATTTTACGATATTAATGTCAGTTGGTCATGGTGGCCTGGATTGCAATTGATTATCCACGTAGGTTTCATTGACTTCAGTTATACTTATATTATAATCAAATATTAGTCAGCCATGCAACGTTTGACCTGACATAAATGTGCGATGGTTCACATTGCCACATGTCATTAGAACCGTGAAAAAAATTATCAAGATAAATCCCAGAATAATTCAGTAACAGTGTCACTAATGGTAGAAAAGTTTACGTATAGAAAAACAGACAAAGAAAAGCATAAAGATATTTCGGGATTCAGAAGATGAGAAGTATTCTGTAGGCTCTTATCTGATTTGAATTAGGTCGGATGATGTTAGCAAAATGTACATCCAGACATAATTCGTGTTAGATAATAACGGAATAAGTCAGATACGAGAACGAATTTTGAATACATATATTTCGTACACTCGTTTATCTGAAAAAAAAATCAGAGAAACGAGGTGGAGTTGGCTCACTCGCGTTCTCCGCTTCGCTTTGATTCTTCAATTCTTATTTTCCCAACGACACTCTTCGTGCAGCTTCGTTCGATGTAATGGGTAAGATAAGCAATACACACATATATGCTCATTCAACAATAGTAAAGGTTAATATGTGAATAATTAACAAGCTCAAAATGTGACTTTGAAAGAATGAATAAATCAGTATGTTCAGAAGCTATAATAACTTACGTCGGCTTGACATGGTACCAGCCACTACAAATAAACGCATTTATATCATTGCGAACGATTCTAAATCACTTTACCCGGTAGATGCTGCTGAGATCCAGTGTTTCTCCCTAACCTTGTGGTTTACCGTACTAGCAGATATCACTGCTGTTTCCACGACTTTTCGGATATCATTCCATGCTGCCTCAAGGTGGGCATCAATTACATAGCTGCCTAACTGTTTTTCTAGTTGTTCTTCAAATATACTGAGATTGACTATCATTAAGTAGGACCTTAAGAGGTTTCCTTGCAGTGTCTTTCTTACATCCAGTAAGACGTAGACAAATACGCGCTCGCACTAGAGCATGATCTGAACCTAAGCATGTGCTCCAGAACGAGCGACAGTCTTCTATCGAGCCCCTTCATCAGTGGCTGATAGCGATGTGATTTATTTGTGTTCAACGTTGGAATGAATTCGAGGGTCGCCATGTCAAAAGATCTTTTTCCTTATGCCTTAAGTTAGTATTTGCAAGAAATAAGTGGTTATCTGAGCATAGCTGTAACAGACGGTCGCCATTATCTGTTCTTTGAGCCACGACACCATAAGATCCACCCAGGTGTCTTTCCCTTTCGCTAAGCTCCGTTCTTCAAAGGGCCTTACCGCCGGAGACGGAAATCCGTGAGGTATGGCATTTTTAGGGTCGACCTTTTCGAACCCCCTTCCTTCCTTGTGAGAAGGCAGCATCGCTGCAGATGCTGATTGTCCGAGGGAAACACATTACTGCTGTCACACCCCTCAACAGTCAGCAGTACGACTCCGCCCGCAGAACTCGAGTTGCTGCTTTTACTCTTACCGTTCTCCAATCGAACTGCCTGGCATGGTAGAACCTACAGGAACATATGTTCCAGTCAATATAGCTTGGTTGGGTCATCACGATAGGCAAGTTCGATCACCGCGTCAAGGTAGCAGCTACGGTCGGGCTAGGTAATCTACCCCTGCATACAAGACTCAGTCCAAAAGTTAATGAGATCACGGACTGATTCTAGGAATTGGTCTGACTGCCTCTAACCTTTTAACAATTTAATCCTACACCAAATAACATCTCATTGAAGTAGGTGATTGAGGGAGTTGGTCAAATTGTCCCCTGAACGTTTACAAGGTTGTTAAATAACTTGTTTCAAATAGGTTGATGGACCGAGCTTAATGTGATGTGATTATTATCAGTACATCAGTCCATGATATAAACTGTAAAACGCAAAAATTTATTTGCGGTTTACACTTTCTAAAAAGGTATCTATCTAACAAACCGTATTCTAAGTGATACCGATGCATTATATTTGTGACAGGAGTTTGAAGTAAATACATACACACGTTAGCACATCGTTAGAAAATAACTGTCAACCGGAGAATATTTAACACATACTAAAAAATGCACACACATACACAGAAAAATGAAATAAATTTTCTTTCCAAAAACAGCCTATGATCATCAATATCATTAATAATAAGTAGTGTTGCGCCAATTTTCACCAAGGAATTTCATTTCATTTTCAGATTGAAAAATTTAAGTAGAGAACACTGTTATCCTTCATTAATCAGTCAGTCAGTAACAACGCAGAACTTAGTACGTACGTACATCAGTTCGAGTTGCCATACCACATTAGAACAGAGATGCAGTTACCCATTCAAATCCCGTAGTGGTAGAGGTAGCAAGAGTATAAGCAGTAATCGGGAAGATTAGGGTTTGGAGATGTTATTTAACGAGTATAATCCAGTGAAATAAATTTGGAAAGAGGAAAAAAGGGACATGAATAATTCAGAAGATTAGAATTTGGGAGAACACAAAGAGTG